ACGGAGGAGAGCAATTTTACTCCTTGGTGATGGAGTAAATTCGCTTCTTTCCCAGAGTGAAAGGGGGGGTGAAACTGGAGTTAGCTATTTTATTCTCTCTCTTGAGAAAAATCGCTCCCCCTTTTCTAAGAGTGTACGGTAGGCCTGCTCTAGTCGAGTGAGCCTATGCCTGCACCATGGTACTTATTTCTGTCCAGTTTGCTAAAAAAAAATCAAAGCTTTAAAGAGGACACCCCTACGACGTAGTTAGAAGCTTAGGGTTACATATTTACAGTTACATTTGTTATTTTTATAACCGAGGCGCCTGCTGTTTCTCTTTAAGGAGTAGAAGACCCTCCCAGCAAACAAGGCTACGTTGTACCAACGTTACGAACGTTGATTCAATGTTGATTTAACGTTGATTCAACGTTATGTGTTTCAAATTGTTTGCTGAGCAGTCCCATTGTCTGACAAGAGTTGCATAATAGGTCTACGGGTAAGGGCTACTTTGAGGCCCACAATTTCTGCCGTTGCTTTTAAGACGAAAATTTTCCCCTTAGATTGCAGTTATGAAGAAAAAAAAATGAAGACCTGGTAATGAAAACTGTATGGTTTTTTGGCCTTAAAAACAACGGCAGAAATTGTGAGGTGGGGTCTGAATAAAAATGTGTAGTATGCGTTTAAAAAAGTATATGAGCTTTGAAATTGCTCTCATCTTTTACTCAAGTAAATGGCAGACATTCTGTAAATCTTTCAAGTTTGTTGAGCTGCATAGAAAATGGCACCATACAATTGAAAACAGTGGTTTTTTTTTGCGAAATTTGTGATTTTGAATATTTCGAGCCATCACATCTCCTTCAGAATGTTGCATGGTTTGAACCTGGAACCAAAAGCTTAAGGAAATTGAAAGAAAATGTNAACAGTGGTTTTTTTTTTGCGAAATTTGTGATTTTGAATATTTCGAGCCATCACATCTCCTTAAACGGAATTTGTTGGGACAAAAATGGGATACACATCATTAGATCTTCTTCCGCTGATTCCAAAAACATAGATGATGATAGGGCTTGATGAACATGTTGACGTTTTGCAAATTTCTGAATCTACCAAAAATAGGAAATTTGACATAGCTTTATTTCATTCAGTATCGCCTCGAGGAGAAAAGTATATGAAATAACTTCTATCCTTTTTAAAGAGCAATGGTGTTCGCTGCGTTCGTTTTGGTCGAAAAGTTTTTGGTCCACATGAGCGTGAAGAGGTGCCCCTTTTTTTAAATTTCACAAAATTTAACGAATTATTGTGCCAAAACGGCTCCATACCCAAACCAAAATTTTACATTCTAACTTTGGGCCATGAGGGGTACCACATGAAAAATTTTCGTCAAAATCGGAGGGGGTCATGCTCCGGCCTCTGGCTGATTTGAGATGGAACTACCCTAGTATAATTAATGATGTATCTGTCTAGGAGATCATGTCATCGATGCCTTCGTTCCGGCATTAGAGAGGAAATACCCTCACTCGCATTCATTGGCAATTCGGTGCTTCATCGGGACACGGACATTCATGAGGATGAGGTTTCTGAATTATGAAAATGCCGAAAGGCTATGCAGGGACGGAGAAAGACGTAGAGCAGGGGTGTCAAACATACGGCCCGCGGGCCGTGTCCGGCCCACGGAGGTGGTTCATCCGGCCCGCCGAAGTGGGTCATCCGGCCCGCCGTCTGTTCTTGAATTTCCGCTTGCATTGACTGTTGGCACAAATTTCGGTGAAAAATTATGGGTGTGGCCTGAAGGCATCTGCAGGGTAAGGAATGTGGCCCGCCGACCGATTTGAGTTTGACACCCCTGACGTAGAGTAAAGAAAATGAAAATGTTGTCTTCTCGATTGAGCTAGCACTGACACGTAGTTCCAAATTTCCAGGCAGAAAAAATTATTCACATGGTGACAAGGAACTGAAAATGCTCATATAGGCATGTCAACGGACTCAAACCATCCTCCTTGCTTCGAAAAATCCCTGTAGCGTATGTGTACATATCGACTTCTTACCCCAACCATCCATCCACGTAAGCCTTATTTGTTCATAGCGAGGCATTCATTGTCACTCTGAAATTCCTCTAACTCTCCACACCATCCTCTTAGCTCAACTAATAGCCGAGTACCAAGTAACCTCTCAATTTTTCCCAAGTGATTATACGAGTTCGGCCTTCATTACTTGAGTTCTTTAAATCTCCCACGTCTCGGGACGTAAGTACCTATTGCTTAAGGGTCTCCCTTTAACCATGACGGAGCTTGCACTCGGAAAAGAAAGCCTGATTTGCTTAGTTTCGAACCCAGGTCCCCTGTCATGGGAGCCAAGGAAGCTACCAACCGAGCCATTCCCCAGCCCCACTCCCCTCTATGACGTCACAAGGATGCGCTTTCCTAAATTCGTCTCCCGCGTACGTTAATGAGGCGCCTATTTGCCGGTGCGTGGGTACAATCCACCATGAACGCGCTGTGCTGAGCAGAGCAAGACGTGACTAGGGCAATAAAAGCAGACGATGAGAATGGGGGCGGAGCTGTCGTCACGTGACCTGAGAAGCGTTTGAAATATCCCTTCCCCACGCATGCACTTCGGTCTCATCACCATTTAGGCTTCATTTCGGATTAGGTCAGCCCTGCCTTTCTAGAATGCTACTCTTTCACCCTGAGCAGACCTGAAGAAATATTGGAAATTCTCTGGAAGGAAGAGCATAAATACTTTGCGCAAGGCAGGAGGAATTCGCTCTGACACCTTTTCTAATCCAGACTTTCCATTTACTTGCCAATATGGCGGCCTCCTCATCTTCACCCGACAGTGGAGTGCTTGGGATCGATTTCTATCAAAATTACACGGCGTCTGAGGTTTTCGTGCAGGGGATTGCTCGCCAGGTGAACCAAGAAGATGTGGAGACCATCATATCAGCCCAGAAAACCATGTGAGTTTTGTGCCCCGTGTGAACCTCAGACCTAGGCCTAATCCTGAGGAGGCCTTGTAGGACCAACCAGAATCTTGTTACTTTTCCAGGCTGCAGAGATTCGAAAAGACCAACGAGATGCTTTCGAACTGCAATGTGCTCTCCACCAACAGATATCAGAATGCCATCGTAGATTTTCGCAAGCATTTGCATGTTCTCACAGACATGAAGAAGGATCTGGATTTCATATTTCAAAGAATTCGAATAATGAAAGCAAAGCTGGAAGCTCAAAGGCCTACAGCCTTTGCAGGTTAAACACCTCTTGCATTTGTAACAGAGCTGACGATGTATGTGAGTTATTGTCTTGATCGTGACCTTGTTGTTTTACACAGAGGTGAGGAGGATGGCAGCCACGGTGACGTCTCCGATTTTAGAACCTGAAGAGGAGGAGGATGATGAACAAGAGAAAGATAGCTCTTCGACCTCAGATTCTGACGACTTCACGACCAGAAGGAAACCGGGAGCTAGAAGGATAGTGTTTTCATCCTCTTCAAGTGACACCATGGATTGATCATCACTTGCACTCTTCAATGTGCCATTTAGTCACACTTTCTGGAGCCTACAGCTTTCTGTCTGACAGGGTGACTGGCAGTACTGGTTTCCTGTCTACCTTCTAAGAAAGATTCACCCCTTGCCATCAGGCTTCTCCTAATGACCTAAGATGGAGTGGGATCTCTTTTTTCTCATTTTACCTGGAATTAAAAGTAATACTCTGTTGGTATAATTTACTGTGACTGTGATAGAAATGCTTATTGGTACAGATATTGAAATTTACATTTTCTTTCAATTTCCTTAAGCTTTTGGTTCCAGGTTCAAACCATGCAACATTCTGAAGGAATGTCTCTGGGTCTTGGTCATAGAGCTAATTCCAAAGTTGTTAGTTCTGAGAGGGCTGCACATGCCATCTCTCAATGAGTTCATTAAACATTAGGTCAATATGAGAGATGACAGTGCAGAAGACTGGACAATAAATGAGGTTGGGAACAGGTCATTGTTGCTGATACAAACATTGGACTATCTCCAGGGGTGAATTAAGGTTATGAGGGGCCTAAGGCTAATGGGAGGGAAGGGTCTAAGTATGAATTACATATTGCAACAAAAAACAATGGAATGGAGGGCCTAAGGCTATAGCCATGGGTTAATTCCAACCTGACTATCTCATCCTTTCTTTAAGCTCACTTTCTTCTCACATCCAATCACCCCACCTCTTTCTAATCATCTTGTGACATCATTTTTATGTAGTTTTGGTCCTGTTGAGTCCATCCCTGGTATTGTATGTATTTCCAGTTCATTAAGCCAGGTTATTCGCAACTTCCTGGACAAAATCACCGATTCTGGTCCTCACTATGTAATACTTGGTAGGTCTCTATGTCCAATTTTATTTATGTCATAGCTTAAGAAATCCACTATCACAGTGGAAAGTTACAACTACACAATTGTCCTTCATGATCTTTTTTTTTTTAACACATCCACTGCCATTTAACAGGGTTTAGAGAAAGATTTTGCGATAGTTGAATATGCCAAGTAGAGACGGTTATGGTCTCTGTGCATTAGTCATCTGATATTCTCTGACTGGGTTGAGGTTTCAATAAAGAGTATGGCAGTGAATGTGTTAGTGATATTTATGTCATCCAGGAAGGAAGCAAGAGACATTTTCCATGAAACTATGCAGCAATCATGCTGGAGCATTTCACTCCAGTGAGCGAAAAGGGAAATTCATTACACCATATTTCGATATTGGGAAATGCACCTTAGAAAGTTACAAATGTCATGTGCTGATGTTTATATAGTGAATGCACTATGCTGGTCCATAACATAATAGCAGCAGAAGCACTTATAAAATGGCAGGAACTTCATCAGTGATGACTTGATGGCAGTTCACTCATTTAAGCATCAGCTGAAAGAAACGTAGAGCATAAGTGCCAGATGCTCAGATTGGAAATAAGGTAATGACAATGAGCTTTTGGAGTCTAGTTATATCTTTTGGCTGCAATTAAACTCGTTATCCACTGCTCCTAGATCAACAGTGACAGTTGAATCAACCTGTTTTCAATTAATCACTTGCATCATAGGTTATAAAATGAAACCTTGTCTTTGAGCTTGGACACAGCAAACCATTCCTTAAAGCAAAGTGGTTTTTCATATCTCCATTTGAATGCCTGTTATCTTCTGCTTCCAAAAAATTCCATTTTGAAGGAGTTTTTCTGCAAAAGTACAAGGTATATGCACACGAGAAATGTCCCATAAGTACAAGGGAATCATTTTGAGGACAACTAAGTGGTCCAAGAAGCTATTAGGAATCTTAACAGATTTTGCTTTTTATTTTTTGAGGGGTATCATTTCTCAGGACAAAGCATGCTTTTGTCTTTGAAGGTGATTCTTATGCCTTGGAAGTCTGGTTTCCATATTTTAGGATGGTATAACACCAGATAATTTTTTTATTCCTAAGGTACTGATTGCCCATTGGGTAAGAATTATCAAACTGCTTGCAATAATTATCAGTCATAAAGTATGTAAAAACCACTACCAATTATATTCTGAATGTTAGCAAAGTGATTGAAGATGATATGAGTTGGTCCCTGGACACCTATCCACTGAGAAATTCATAGGATGAACTGGCTTCATTTGGTATTCATTAGAACACATAATGAGAAAACAAGCTTGAGACTGAACAAATAGTTTTTTTATTGGAGGCCCAAGCATAATATGATGGTTTAATCTTCACTCTTGGTCTCCTTCTTGCCTCCACGCAGCCGACCAGTGCGACGAGCAGCAATCAGACCGACCTGAAGAGGGAAAGGAGATTACCATGTTTACTTCCATAAAAGTAGACAAACAGCATTAAATACAATATTAAATGCAAGAGAAGGCTCAGTAATGGGTGCCCAAAGGGGCAGTTCAGTCATAGATTGCATCAGGTTTCAAATGTCTGCATTTAAGACATCACAGCCATGCTCATTTTCCAAATTAAGGTTGCAAATGCTTTATAAATAATATTTGTTTTTAAGAAATTTAAAATCCACCAATTCTGGTGCAGATATGACCAATATTGATTCGTTACCAGCAAATACCACCAAAGACCATGAATTTGATTAATTTATGGTTACTGAATTGTTGAAAGATGTGCATTAGCACACACCCACTTCCCATTCCATGTCAGTATAAGTCCAATCCATAAGTAATTGAATCCATTCTTAATCTTCTCTTAAGGAAATACCTGATTCCCAATGAAGCATCAGCTAGCAAAGGAAATAGGAAACCAACCGTCTGTCTTACTACAGTTGCACTATACAGTCACTTTAGGTCTAGGATTGGTTTGATTTGAGGTTTGATCTAGGACTTGTGTCTAGTGGTAGTATACTACCACTAGACCCAAGTCCTAGATCAATGATTTTTTTGGGGCAAGATGAGAGGTGCTTGAAACTCAATGAATGTTCATTTAAATTTGAAACTGATTAATCAACAACTTAAGGTATGCTGCAAATTTTTCCCTTGATGCAAAAGGATTAAATTACAAGAACCAGTCCACAATAAGCCCAAGAGTATGACTCAACAGACCTTGCGTCCGGCAGACTTTCCACGAGCAACAGTGGAGGCCTTTCCGATGTGTTGATGATTACCACCACCATGAGGATGCTCCACTGGGTTCATGGCCACACCCCTCACAATGGGCCAGCAGTTTCGCTTTGCCTTATACTTGTGGTAAGCCCTGCCTGCCTTTAGCAGCGGCTTGTCCACGCGTCCTCCTCCAGCCACGATCCCTTAGAAATGATGACTACACTGAGCAACAGCCACCCATTCTATTTTATACATGGATAATGTGTGACAAGAATGGTCAGAAACAGCCTCTGATATGTGCTTCATTTTTTATCAGGCACAAGCAGAATTACATCACACCCATATGCCACGTTCCAAAAAAGAGTTTGGCTAAAAAATGTAATTATTAGGTGACATTCATGTTGCTTTTTGTTAGCTGTGTAACTCTGCTGATTATGCCCATCTGCTAGGCTTCCACCCTCTCTTGCTTCAAGTGCTTCAAGTCTCATGTTTACCTTGGATCCCAAAATTTTATGACAGTTTCAAGAGTGTCCAAACAGAGCTGTGGACAACTCTTTGTTGCAATAGAACAATTAAAACCACATAGCTTCTTTTAATGCTTAATTATCCTAGAGAATCCTAAAACATTGATGCTAGCAACTAACCCATGAAAAAAATGCGATGGCTCTCCTAAACGTAAAAACAGAATTCACAATAGAAATAATTATCACAACTATCCATGGACCACTAGGGTAATTATATAATAGCCTTGTTTCGACTAGAAGAGATTCCCGGGAATTTCCCAGGAAAAGGAAAAGGTGGGCCAAGTCGAAACACTCGGCCCGGGCCCTCTTTTTCGCCTCAGGCATTTCAAGCCTGGGCCAGGCCTGGCTCGGACTTTTACCTAGTTGAACCACTTGGCCTGGGCCCGAGAGAGTGTGTCTCCTCTACCCAACTTTACCCTCCTACTAGTCCTGCGTGAGTGTGCGCGTCATGTCCTTTTGCACTCGCTGGGAAGTCCACGAAACTGAAGCTTTATTGAAACTATTCAAGGAGCACAATGTTCAATCAATATTAGATTGGGCAGCGAGAAACAACAAGGCTTATCACCTGCCTGAAAAGCAGATACAAAACAAAGGTTTTAACCTTTGTTTTGTATCTGCTTTTCAGGCTGTATCGGCTTTTCTGAAAAAACTGAAAGGTTTTAGAAATTTACCTCTACCTTATTTTTTACATGAAATTAACTAAAAGTAAAATTATGCTGGTGAAGAGAATTCATTGTGTTTCCATATACTGTCATAGAAATAACACGGTCTCTTAGAACTATTCGAAAGTAACATGCAAAAATCGAAGAGCAAGTATCCAGTGAAACAGCCGACCTCAGAAACTGAAATGAGGTGCAAAAGGGGCCTCCCATTCCCTCAGGGTGTGTTCCCGGGCCAGAAGGGTTAGACATCTAATGAGACAGGTGATCAAAAATTACATCTCCCGGGAAGACCTAGGACCGGGAATTTCTGCTAGTCGAAACAAAGCTAATATAGCTTTTGCACCAGGATTTGGTATGTTGTATGAATTTTTTTTCTCTTTTGGGTCTTTAATATGATTTGTGACAGTTCATCACTTGCCAAAAGTCATAATTATGGCAATTATCACACGTTTACTGCATGTTTTCATCAATAACTTACCTGCCTTTCTCATACATCACAGTAGCAGCTGATGTCTGTCTAAAATGTGTTACCAAGTCTTGATAACAGAAAAGCACAATTACTATCTCCATATCCTCCCACTGAAGAATGTAATCACTTTGGGGCTCGATACTCTGACTAATGTTTCATCAGCTCTTTTGGGTTTTCATTAAACCCAAACTTACAAACCTCAGAGAAGAAACGATAAACACAGACCAAGTGAGTTGCATTCCTTCTGTGTTTAGGCTGAAAGAGTGAGAAAGTCAACCTATTTTGGGGAATGATGGGGAGTCAATTAGGTTAGGATAAGGCTTTTCTAACCCAACTGAGCCCCCATCATCCCCCTAAATAGATTGGCTTTCTCACTCTTTGGCTTTTGACACTGAATTGATGCCTATGCTGGCTCCAGGACAGAAATGGATGCAGAGTTTAAGCATATAAACCAGTAGTACTGTGCCTGGTGTAATTGCAGACCTAATTGTAATTGTAAATCATTATAAGTACATATAAACACCATACTGATATTGTTTCATAAATATTTTGTTGAAAAGGGTGATACTAATGAAGGTGTAAAGTTTTAAACAGTAGAAACCTAATGTAATGTAACCTAACCTAGTCACTCATGTCCCCCCTCCCTCCACCTGAGAACTCCTGTTTCTCACACTTGTCCCAAATAGTTGAAATATGTTCGAGAATTTCTGTTTTCAAGTGTTGGTTGCACTGTGAAAACAGCTGTGCAGAATGGCATCCCAGCTGTGAAATATGACCGAGGCAGGGAAAAATACTGATAGAAACCAGGCAATAAAATTTCGAACTTTGCCATACTTATAAGTTTGAACAAGTAATGAAGTGTCACAAACAGTATTAATACCCTCAAGGAACAAAAAAATTGCCTGCAACACACTGAAGCAGGGCACGAAGCTATACAATACTAATACCTTAACAAGTTATGTCTCCATGTAATACCATAAGCTAGCTAATGATGAAACCCAAAATATGCTTTACTTTGTTGACATTGACAATACATGAAAGCTGGAAAAAAAAAAGAGATATATCATGGTGAAAATCTTCCTAATAAAAATTCCAGCTTGCAAGCAGAACTTCTCTCCTCCATATATTGTTACATAAACCTTAACTACATCTAACCTCATCAAGAATAGGCTGAAATGGAACATACCAACCATGGCGCGATTGTTTGAGGGAATGACTTTCTTGGCCCCAGAAGGGAGCTTGACACGTGTTTTTTTGGCATCTGGGTTATGGGACACGATGGTAGCATAGTTCCCAGATGCTCTTGCCAAGCGCCCACGGTCTCCCGATTTTTCCTCCAGGTTACAAACAATTGTTCCTTCTGGCATTGTACCAACTGGAAGGACATTCCCGATCTGCAGTGCAGCTATATGATGAAAGAGCAGGTATCAAGAACTTGTCTTTGACAATTCCAGTTTCACCCTCCAATCTTTATCTACACCAATGCCTTCAGATCCATTTGGATTAAGCAGGAGCTACATGAAAAATTCTTGAATTTTGCTTAAATAAGAAAACTGCTCTTGTTCAGATGGATTTCCTTCCAGTGACATGAACCTTGTAACAAATATAAAGGCCTAACACTTTCACAACCTAGAGAAAGAAGGAATCATGGTAGGGTAGTAAGTACTTTAATCCACTCAAGCCCATAGGTTTGGCCTACTAGGATAGTCAGTACACCTAGTTGACCAAAGTGTCTCAAGTTTGACTTTACATGCCAAGTTGTGCAATGCCAATGACACCATTTGCCTAATTGTTTAGCAGCTGCAACTGTGAATGTATTCTTTATTCCATGCATGTTAATTTATTAGGTTGTCCCAAAAGTTTCTTTCGTAATTCGCGCGAATGGCGTTGCTAGGCAATAGAACAGCGGAATAGTGCTTTCTACCGGCTCTTTTTTTTTTTTTTTTCACGTTCATGTGTCTTTTCTCTTCCTGACAGTGTGTTTTGTTTGCAGATAAACCGCATCATTATCTTCGTGTTCAGAAGATTCAGAGTGCGTGACAAGCGTGACAGAGTGCGAACGGTCCGGACAGTCACAGCATGGTCCCCGTAAACGGCGCAAATCTCACTTGCAGTTTCCTCAGCCCCTGTGCCTTTTTTGAAGCAGTGCAATATCACATGCCGAAAATGTCTCCTCTGGCTATCCATTTTTCAGCACGCACATGAAAATAATGAAGCAGTTTATCCACAAACAAAACACACTGTCAGGAAGAGAAAAGACACATGAACGTGAAAAAAAGAGCCGGTAGAACGCACTATCCGCTGTTCTATTGCCTAGCAACACCATTCACGCGAATTACGAAAGAAACTTTTGGGACAACCTAATAAAAAATCAGATGGGGAATAAATTGGTCTCTTGCTCAAACTGGGTAACAACTGAACCTTTCACTTCATTTCAGCTTTGTTTTCTTTAGGTCCTTTGCCATGCCCTTTCTTCCTGTTAGCACCGTTCCACATGCATTCAAACCAATATTGCCCAGAGTACGTACTCGGGGTGACGCAGGTAAGTGGACATCCGCATCACAAATACGTACTTGGGATGATGCCGAAAGGGTTAAAGCTTCACTTAAAAGTGCAAAAATAAATTTCCTTCCAGATATGCAATGACAACATACACAATTTTGAGACCAAATTTTCAAATAGAATCAAGCCTAAAGTTTGTTCAAGAAATGCAAAAAGATACTATTAAACAGTAAAGATGGCCCACAGCCATTTACTTGAAAGGAATCAAATTAGTTCCAAATGATCGATGAAAAGCACCATCAAAGCTACTTTACTGAGTTTATCCAATGTCCAATGGGACAAGTTCCAATTCCTCAAGGATTTTATATAATCCATATATTATTTTTTCCTGTGAAGCTTATTGCATAAATCATAAAAGAACAAATACACCTGAACCTAAAACAACAGAACTAGTAAACAAATTCGATGTGTCTTCAGTTGAGGTTGCTGTCCAACATTTTCAGAAAAAATGGTAAATTTGTGGCACCAATCATAAGAAAGACACCAGGTACAATGTCATAATAACCTAGGCAGTAAAGACCAAACATCAACTACACGGTAGTCACCATGTATCCCAAAGTTGCCATCAACACTTCACGACTCTGTTGACCTCCCCTTGGGGCTTAGAGGATGCCAAACTCACAATGCACAGCGACAATTGTGTTATTACTGTTCTGAAAGCAGGACAATCATACCTCGTTGTATTCTCTCCCTAGGCTAATCAGAACAAGGTTCGCATGTCAAATCAGCGAGTATAGTTCGTTATGTCACCACCCTTGTAATACTTATTGAGATCACTCCACCTTTAATGTATTTCATCAAGTTAAAGGATCCAGGTCTTAACTCGATGCCGTATGTGTTCCTCTCGTTCCTATGGGAGTCGCCATATGCCAAGACGTCACCACTTCCCTATACCCTCCCATCTTTGGTCCGCTGTGTCACCACCCATCCTTCCTTCATGTATTTCATCAACATAAAGGATCTGGATCTATGTGGTTCTTGATACGATGCCGTTTGCATTCCACTCCCAGTTCTTCCGGGAGTGGCCATATGCAGTCGGGAACAGTGTTGCCAGATGTATATCTTCCCTCTGCCTTTCTCCGCTCATCTCTTTGGAATGGCCTGGCGTCATGATGGGCACATGGAACTACATCTGCTTCACGTTCAGAGGCGGGACCATGCGACGCTGCTGCCCATCATCAGACAGCATATTGCTCCAGGGACAGAGATCTGGTCGGATGAATGGGCAGCATATGCGACCTTGAGCCAGCATGGATACATCCACAAGACTGTGAATCACCAACAGCACTTTGTGGATCCCGTGACTGGCTGCAACACCCAAATGATCAAAAGTCACTGGGCTTCGGTCAAGGCCCGCATACAAACTCGCAGGCGTGGAACAACGCCCAAGATGCTGCAAATACATCTCATCGAAGCCTGGTGGCGTTCTGTCGATGACGCTCCAAGACCATTCCTTGACTTTCTTGACGCCATCAAGTCCGTCTACCCACAAAAATAGCATCTTCATCAGGCCCTGCTCGACAGACATCCTCATTAAAGAGGGGGGCGGGGCTTAGTCATCACACCGTTGTGACGTCATCGCAGGAAGGGCTTTCCCGATAGATTGGACGCGATGGCGACATCCTCTTGACGCTATGCTAGGAATATCTTCATTTTTTAAATATGCCACTGCTCTCGCTTTCTTGCAGTTCTTGCAGCATTCTCCCTATTCAAATTCTTCATCCTGATGAAGGTCCTTGTCCGAATAAAGCAAAGAATGACTTCCTTGGACATTTCTGGGTACTTCTCCAATTCAGATGTTAAATCGTTGATCACGTTTTTCCCTCTCCGAATATCATCCCCATGGTGTGCCGAAAACTCCTGTTCCAAAATCGTGGCATTCCTAAGCCATGTTGGGGAGGGTTCCATCAGGCCACCACAACTGATTCTTTGAATCCAGGAATTACTTTCTGGGTCGTGAACTGGACAAGAGCCTAAACCTGGAACTTTCGCGGCAAGTTTGAATGCTACATATCCTGCCACATACTTGCACGCTTGATCCTCTTGTTTCAATTCCCCTATGGGATCTGGCAGGTCAGAAGCTGGTATACCTTCCCGAAAGGATTGCTCATTTTCTTCCGCCTTCAGGCATGTTTCTGGGTTATTCTGTTCTTCCACTGCATGCGAAGACAACTCGTCTGAGCGAATGTTAATCAGGAGACTTGCATCATCGCCTTGAACATTGCAATACCTTGGTAGATGCAGACTCTGGCCAGCGCTCAGAAGCAAGGACCTTATTCTGAATTTGGCTGATATGGGTGTGGGGCATGTATCAAACCTGCCTGCTGCTCTGATTTGGCTGAAAAAGTTTTCTAGGCAATCTTGATTCAGGCGTGATGTCAGAATGTAGCACTGGGAATACATCTCGAAAAGATAGGTCATCTTTGGTCATCATTACATCAAACTGAAAATAAATTGGCTGCTTCCAGCTCTGAAAGATCCCTCTTGCCATGACCATCATCAACTGATTGTGAGGTCCATACATTGCATCTGTCTTGGCATCGTAGCAAATCTGGGAATCAATCTTCATCTCATCATAAGACAAGCAACAAATGTGATCTTTTTCCGGCATGACTTCAGCGTGGTACTGCATTAATCGAAGTATATCAACCAAGATTCCAGGCTCGCTGGATAGATTACTTGACCACATCCTCAAACGGGATGACGATGGCAAAGGTAACCCAAGATTTTGCCTCGCATATTCATAACCTTTGCTAGACATGATTTTCAGAGGGATTGCTCTGGTATAGTCAAGACTTGACCATTTTCCAGGGCGTGATTTCCCAGCCTTGATGACATTCAGCTGGGTTTCAGTGAAGATTTTCCTCAAAGCAGATGGATCCATTTTGCTGCACTTCTGTTTCAATTCCCGAATCATCTTGTTCTTACTCTTCAGCATATGATTGTACAGATGTGTCTTTTGCCGTAACTTCGCCCTAGCATTTTCGAGCTTCTTCCGAAGAACCCGGACCTCTTTGCAGCATTGCTTTTCATGTTCAGTTTCTCGGAAGTTTGTATTTCCCTTTCAGTCTTCGAAGAAACTTCTGACAAAGTCACTAGCAAGTGCTGTAGTTGACTGATCGATTCCAGGACTGATTTTCCTATCAGAAGTATGTGGACTTGCAGTGGGCCGAGAAGCTGGAACTGTGGTTTCAATGTTTGTGCAACTATTATCTTTGGCGATTCCTGGGGGACATAGAATGGTCTGACCGGAACGGTTCACTGACTCTAAAGAATGTGTGTGCTCATGTCCTCCTTTGAGAATGGGTACAGAATCTCTTACTAGGTACCTTTTCTGATCCAGAAATCTTCCACGATAGCAATCGTCTGCAAAATGAAGTGAACAGGCGTATGCTGTTTTGGGTACAGCAGATAAACCCAAGGCTTTCAGCCATTTTGATTTTGCTTCCTCTTCTGTGGGAAAGACATAAAATGAAAGCTTCTTAGCTCTACTGTTCTGATACGTTGAGCTACAAGATGGAAGGATGCACGTTTTCCCACTGCTTCTGTTGATAGTAAAGCGGAAACCAAGCAAATAAAGGTGTAGGAGATCAGAAAGAGAGGGTATGGGAAAACTTTCAATAGGAGAATCAAAGATTGAGTATTTCCATATGGTGCAGGAAAACTATCCGCTGAAGGTATGGAAACACAAGCTACCGACATCCTTCCTTGGCAGTTGGAGTCAGAGTGAGGGAGGATGGCAGTGAAGTTTCCTTTTATACACACCGTTGTGACGTCATTGGGAAGCCCCGCCCATTGCGCGCATTATTCATGAGCTTCGGTCGAGCAGGGCCTGATCTTCATGCTATTCTTTTTGTTCTCATACCCATTGACATTGACATTCTTTCCTTTTCTTTTGATTTCTTTGGATTTCTACTTTCCTCATGAATTTTATTATATCACTGACTTCTGACTAGTATGCGGCATTCATTACGACACTGAGCAATCTGGAAATGTGCAGATACGCATCGAAGAAGACATGCCCCATTTGACAAACATAATGAAATGCAGTCACACGGGATGTAAACGACACAAAGAGACTCACTCAGCTGGGCAGAGAAGATATGCATCTAGCAACACTGTTACCAACTTGGCATATGGCCACTCCCAGAAGAACTGGGAGGGGAATGCGAACGGCATCGTATCAAGAACCACATAGATCCAGATCCTTTACGTTGATGAAATACATGAAGGAAGGATGGGTGGTGACATAGTGGACCAAGGATGGGAGGGTGTAGGGAGGTGGTGACATCTCGGCATATGGCAACTCCCGTAGGGACAAGAGAGGAACGCATACAGCATCAAGTTAATGCATGGATTCTTTAACTTGATTAAATACATTAAGGGAGGAGTGATCTCAATAAGTATTACATGGGTGGTGACATATCGAACCGAGGTGGTGAAGGAGTAGGGGGGTGGTGACATAACGAACTATACCCAAATCAGCATGCCTTACATTTGGCCAGTGCTACGTAGTAACACCTGCACAAGGAAGCAACATGAATGGTGCATGTGAAGGATCCCCACTCAGAAGTCACCATCCATGGAGGGAAGAGGAAAAGTGGCTTCTCCGTACAAGTGTTTACATGCAGAATGACAGCTGATTCATGCTTGTCACATGTAAAGCCAATGTGTCTTGGGAATTTATTGGAATAAAGTTCCATTGCCATAGTGAAGTGAAGAAAATGATTGAACTGACAACATGATGGCAACTACCATGTTGGTGACATTAGGCATCCAGACTATTTCCTCATGACAAGCAATACTGCTTTCGGATTTTGTAAGTCAAATTTTCGAGTCCATCATAAAGAAAAAGACTTGATTACTCAATGCCATGCGAAATTCATTCCTGGAAAACAAAAAATAGAATTGTTTTAAGGCTAAAAATTTTGAACAAGATACCATATTTCAATATGATACATGACGAAGAACCAGCATACAATAAATATAATGGAATCACAACCCAAAGGAAATTCAGACAGAGGATCCAGTTAGGCTGAGATTCATCACCGCTTACCATGTAAGTTTGAACTCACCCTTTTTGCCACAATAAATGAACTGGCCGGTGTACATCCCTTCGGCAGCAATCATGAGCTGCTTCCTCAGCTTGTATCTATACGGATCTCTGAAAGTGATGCGAGCCAACGGAGCTCCTCTCCCAGGATCATGGAGAATTTCCTACAAATTAAGATGAGCTTGGTCTTAAACCTGCAGTTATATGTGGGGCTCCACTTTTTATATGAAAGGCACTAGTTTAACTTTCACCTACCTTAACTATGCCTTTGATGTACCCATGTCTTTCAGCGTAATCGATCGCTCTCAGTTTAGGGCAACCTTTGCGATGCTTATTGTGAGAGCGGAATACGCTCCCACGTCCCTTTCTCTGGGCCCGAATGACCCTTCCCATGATTCACGTTGACCTAAGGAAAGCCAACATGCGAAGCAACGTTATACAAGCTAAAATGCATTTATGCCACAGCAAGAGAACACCACCCACCAGGCAGGCCACGGACTCTCGAAAGGAAGAAACAGAATGAGCACCTTCGATTCCACCCACTCCTTGTGACGGGTGACTATTTCTTGTTCAAATAAGTTCTGGAAATGATGAGCGAGCAGTTCGGTGTTAATGGGCTTTTTTTTTCAATAAAGCTGTATACGATCATGTAATTAATTTATGGGGATTTTATGAAAAATGAGCGCATTTCACGGTTGGACAGAAAGGAGAAATTCCTGCCTATTATGAAAGGGCGGGAGAGGGCGCTGACGCCACTGTTCAGCCATATTGTGATCGGCACAGAATGAGTTCGGACGTCCGGTTTCCGCAGGGTCTGGCTCTTTGAAGTACAATAGTTTCTGAGACCTCGTCGGCTACCCAGTTATTGTAGCCTTCCTTAACCGCAAAGACGAAGTTTAAGCGTGTTAAACTTATTACTAGGCATTTTATATGCTGAAGTCATTCCCATTGAGTTCAATGTCCTTTAATTCGAAGGAATTTTCGTGGTTTAATTTTGTTTGGACCTGATAGAGCTTTGGCCTACGTATTCGTTTTACCTTTCCATTGATCCATACTGAACTTCGTGAACTGGGTCATTCTCTTTCGAGACAAGCCTGTATAAATGTAGTTTATCCCTCGTACGGATGTAGGATTGGGACATCCTGACGTCTGCAAAAAGATGTTGTCCCACTATTGGCGCATTTAAGAGACGCAAATACTAATCCAATAGCAGCCCACTCCCCCCCCCCCCCCCCTTCCCCCACTGGGATGCAGACCAGGAAAACCTAGTACAATACTCAGCGTTTTTAAATCTTGGTGTGATTGTAAACGACACCAAACCCTCATCTTGAGGGTAGGGAACAACTGTATCCAACATATAGACTCAGCTAAGCCTAACATACATTATTGTGAGTGCCATAGTTCCAGGTAAAGTCATATATGGCAATTTTAGTAAAATGAATACATTCTTTACTAGATATATATAAAAGTGAAGGTGTATATACAACGTAGGTTTAAAAAGTTTCAAGTCTGGGCTTATTGCATGTGAAAAGTGAGAGTTATGGCACTGTTGCTCTGTCACCTTCAAAGTAGTGACTCAAGCTTGTTATGCACTTTGACATAAGTCTGTAAAGTTCCTTCAAGCAGGACTGGAACCTGTTGTATGATAGTAATGTGACACCAGTTTGTCATGCAGTGCCATAGGAAAAAATTAGCAAACCTTACGTAAACATTTTAAAAGTATGATCTGACACTTTGAACTTGCATTGCTTGCTTACCCTGTTAGGGGTAACATTTTTGGACCACCCTATATGTTCCATATATGGTCAGAAGTTTATGACACTGCTCATAATGGCACCCATAATTGTTGAACTTAAGGAGCTGATATTCCTTGTTGCAAAATTCTAAGTATGGTAAACAGTGGTTTTATTTCACCAAGAACATCCAGCCCACTCGACTCCTTCTCTGATAATGGTAAAAAAATTAATGGAATGTTCCAATGAAACTGGCAGTGCTGCTGACAAGCCACATGCTACACATCCCATTTGTACTGTGGCGCACGATGTAGGGATTAGTTCAGGATCGTTAAAATTTATCCTCAGATTTTATCCATTCCATCTATACAAAACTCTCTGCTACCAGGTAGCAATGAATGATAACCTCTTGATGGAGTGATATTTGCTAAGTGATGATGGAATGGTGAATAATCCTCAGATGATTCAGATGCAGGTTTACTGTGTTACTGCTTGCCAGTCAACAGTTTCTACTTAGAGCATTGGATCTGAATGGCTAGTGACCTGAGGACCAGATCATCGACAATTAATCATTTTTTAAAGTCATATGAGGTCTAATGAAGTAAGAATATTTCAATTCCCAAGGCATTCATTATTTCATTATGTAATTTCCCTATGTAGAGCAAATTTAACATATTGAAGTAAGGAACAAAAAACATGTACTGTGCTGCTTTGACTGGGGAAACATTCTCTTAGTGTGTTATATATATTTGTGTTTTAGAGAACTCACATAAAATATAAGTTAGCATGTTCTCTTAAGCCATTTATCATCCTGAATAAAGATATGGAAGGTTTTCCATGGGTGCCCAGTTCCAGTGTGGATCATTGGTGTACAACACTATCTTGAATATGTTCAACACCCTGTATAGAACATACATGTTGCCTAGATGTGTTTAATGCATGAATTAGCCTCACATAAATAATGTACTTTAATTATATATGCTTTCATATATGTAACTTTATCAACATGTGGAGAAAAAAATAATTTACCAGTGTCTTGTTTATATATCAGATGTGTCTTATAACTGGATAAAATTGCCATATATGATCTTTCTCTATGGAAGTAAAAAATTTTTAAAGTAAAATTTAGCAGGTAACCTTGAGTATATAATGAATTCTCCAATGGTGGAAGAGTGGCAAAAACAATGTGAAGTTGTAAATTACAATTTCATTACATGGAGCAATAAATAAATTCAGAAAATTTTTACATTTTGTTGACAAGACATCTGCTTTTGACTGAAGATATTCTTCAGATATTACAAATTTAAGTATTGGCATTTTCCTTATTTTTCTCCAAGTTGTTCACCCAGGGCAAACCTAAAAGGTTCAGCACATACCTTTCTTGCTCCCTGTCTACATTGCTTTTATTCTTCTCATTTTTCATGTCATGATTTGCCTTCTTCATATATTCCTTAATGCCTTTCCTTTCTTTCCCTTGCCTTAATTTTTGTGTTTATGCATGTTCTTACCTTTTCTTTCATTTGATTATTTCCCTATTTGTGTTTTTGTTGTTTTTTGTCATTTTCTCTTTTTTTTTTGTCTTTGCATTCTGGAAATATTTACTTGTCATTCATTTTCATTAACTTCCCACTCCATCTCTTGTTCCCTCTTTTTTTTTCTTTCCTTTTGTATTGTCATCCATGTATACTTTTTATGTTTGATATAGAATGGCATTATAAATGAAGGACACATTCTTTCTAACTCAACCTGAGTTGCAAGCTTAGTTGATAACTGAGCAATTGCCATTTTCAGTTGTGTTGCCAATTTTTTTATCTGGGAAGCCCTAATAGTTTTTTTTTATACAAATGGATAGTTGATCCAAAGGCATTTACACAGGCCTGGCTGTGACCATGTCAGTTGTTAAACAAAATCCATATTGATAAGTGTCCTCTAGCCCATGGAGTGATTGTTGAGATTGTTGGCCTTTGCCTTTGTACATACTGTGGTTATAGGTACATTTGTATACTTAGAAGGTTCCATGGGTGTAGGCTATGCCTAAGCCTATTTTAACAGATATCTTCCATCCTTTTGCAGATTTCCACCCTTCATATACATATTTCCACCCTAAGTATTTGAAAAATAATTGAGGGAACCTTCCATGAAAGCAGTGCACCCTTTGTTTGTCCACTCTTCTTTGCACTCATCCCTGCCCTTCTCTGTTACAAGGTAGAGCCCCTTTGGGCTAATTAGGCAGCTTAGTAGGCCTTACATTCTACTGCTAATTTTGCATCTTCGTAAGGATTTTCCAATCTTGGAAACACATATTTGAAGCATATCTGAATTGTGATCAAGTCTTTCATTTGACTCAAACCATTATTCTCTGCTGGATAACCCTCTACACAAACTGCAAACACGGCTACAGCAACCAAAGTGGCAGAACTTGCCAGCATTGAGGAATCAATAGGGAAGCCGTATTACCAGCCCAACTTAATGATGATGGACCCAAACCAGATGATGCAGCGTCAGCAGCGCGCCATAGAGATGGAGTCATTTTATGCGCAGTTTCAGCGCCATCCTCCGCCCAGACTTCCTACAAATATTTGCCCCACTGCTCTCGTCCAGCCTGTGAGTTGCTGGTGATTGTTTTTTAAATCATTGTTGGAGTAGTAGTTAATATGGTTCTGGAGTTTGACAGAATATACTTCACATATTTCAGAATGTAACTAACGCTTCTCAGAACATCATGATATCAAAAAGCCTTATAAAAATTTATGCTCATGATGAGGCTTTCATTCATGTACTGGAAATTGTACCTTAATAGAACTGTGCCACTCTGTAAAGAATTGGGGATGTAATGATATTTTGTTGATATCATACCCTGTATTAGAAATTTCAATAAATATCTGCAAATGAGTACATGATGAGTAGGGAGCAGATTTTTTGCAATAGTAAGTCCTAAAATATGCACATTTTTTAAATGCTCCATAAAGCCAAATTATGCCATTAACACTTTTGCTGCCAAGCCATTTTTTGGAGGTCGTTTCCCTGAGGCCAAAGTAATCCTAATTCTGGTGTGCATGGCACAAGTGATTCCGCGAAAGGTGGGGATCCACTGTAGATGAGTGCAGTGGGTGGCAATCAACAAGCTGTAATGAGGACACTTTGAGCTTGTCCGCAATGACGGCCAGCAGTCAAACAGTACCTATGCAATACCTTTGAATTTCTAACCAATTTTGGAGTGCTCCCACATTTGTATTTCCTTGTACCTTGAACCTCACAACCTTGAACACGCTGATTCCAAAATGAGGTGCCTTTTAAAAATGGCCACCACTTTGATGACACAGACGCTTGCCAGTCAGCTTGCAACCAACGTGTTGGACAAATTTGCCAAGAATGAGTTACAGTCTGTTCTAAGCTCTTTACAAGCGAAAGGAAATGTGTGTTGCAAGTCAGGTTGAACTAGAGGGTTGACTGAAAAAATTTTAAGTAACATGAAAATTTTATTTTAAAAATAAATTATTAGTTGAATTGACTTGAAAATATGAGGATACCTAGTTGACAAGGTTCTTCATGAGCTGTTGAAGTGTATGCTCCTTTGCCCACATACTCTTTGAGTTATGGCAGATTTAATTGAATTGGTCAGATATTCTGAGTGAACAGGCATGTGACTACCAATTGTGAGGCATATATCCACATTTGATTTTTTGCCTAATGGATCAGTTCCTCTGGATGGATCCTCATGAAATTAATACGTTTTCACTAGTGTGTACTCAACCATAAAATGTTCAGGCATCCTCGTGCAATTTGGATTCGTGTCTCGCAACGACTGTTGCATGCCTACTCTATCATTTCTTTACCATTTCAACAAAATATGCCATAACTCATGAATGGGTATCCATAAATTTGTATAATTTCAAAAGCTCTTGGAAAACATAGTAGGCAACATTTTATTACATTTTCAGGCTAATCAATTACAAGGTATGAATTATATACATTAAAAATTTTTAAGTTCCTTACTTTTCTTGCCATCCATGTATTTCAAAAGGGATCATTCTGAAACAGAACTTCTGCACATAGTTTGCTCATATAAAAACCAGTTTAGGAGCAATTTTTTATATGTCCACATATATACTACATGTAAAGACTCCTAAAGTTTCTGCATTCTCATTTTAGTATGTCGTTTACCTATAATATGCCCTAAATACACAGAAATGAGGAAGAAGTCATTTCCATTTCATTCTTATATGTAGACATGCTTATATTGAATACATTATGCTGTAATAAAATGAGTCAAGAAACACCTCCAATTTGATTTAAAATTGACATCATCAGGAGGCAATGATAAAACTAGTAAGATGAAAGGAAGAGACAAATAGATCGTATCACGCAAAGCAATGTAAATCACCCACCGGCGGCTCGTATGACCCAGGAGAAGAGAGGACATATAACCTGTCGGCGGGTGGTATGGCCCGGGTGAAGAGAGCCCTTATGACCCACTGGTGGGTCGTATGGCAGCAAAAGTGTTAAGGTGGCAAAATTCACATGAAATATGAATGAAAGTGGGAGAATATGCAAAAATATGGTTTTTATAACCCCGGATGAATTCTTTGGAAAAAGGAACTACAGGGTGGGCCAAACAAATATTCAGTTATCTTTAACGCTTCACAGTGTAGTTTCTCAAGAGTTTGAAAATGTTGCAATAAGGTTTCTATATAGAACATTTATCTAGCTTTCCACTGAAGTAAAAATATTTTAAGATCTAATCTGTCATTCTGATGCGTTTACGCACAGTGTAACAGAGATAGTGCTTGAAAAAGTGCACTTTGCAGTACCCCACAAGATGTGCTCCAGCTGACATCCCTTCCTTCATGTATGGCAAGTAAGCAACCTTGTGTGCACTAGCTGTCATCGCGGCATGTACCAACTTTTCCAGCGCCACCTCTTATACTCTTTATTTAACATCATGAAAGTTGTGTCTTGAGTATTTATTCTTTTGACATCATTGGAAAGCTGAATGAATGTTCTATATAAAGGTGCTATTGCAATTTTAGCAAACTTTTGGGGACCATTGTTGTGGAGTGATAAAGATTACAGAAGTTTTCTTTTTTGCCCACCCCCATACCACACACATTTAGTAAGAGAAACTCCTCCTTTCCCAGTAGGAGGTGGCTTGGAGATTAACAGGTGCCTAGCAGGTGCCTACTGGGCATAGTTAGTCTATTCTTGTCACTGCACATGATTACTGGTGAATATTCATTGTTTCCCACAAGAAATGCATGCTTTCCTGGAAATTTTCATTTTTTTTTACCCCACGGAAAAGGGGCGAAATATGCATAAATATGCATATTCTGATAATAGAAACACCGTATGTATTTTTTTATGCATTTTTTTTTAATATAGAAAAGATGAAGATGAATTGCTTCCTCTGCTAATAATACATGCTCCTATCTGGGTTGCATGCTCATATAAGGTGACAGAAAAAATATGCATTTGTAAAAGTCCTACCACATGATGAGTGCCTGTTCCCTCGACGTCAATGTAGTATTCCTGCAGGCACCCGCCGTACGCAGGCCTCTCCATAGAAACGTCGGGCATCATTTTGACTACTGTGAATGTGTGTTAAAGTTGGAGTTGTATTATTTTGGTACAGTGATTTTCTATTGATTGCGCCCCTCCCTACCCCCTTCTGAATGGCGCCATACTGCAGTCTCAAAATAACTGAATCAGACTAAATCAGTAACTGAAGTGAGTATTAGGCAATTTTAGCTTTCGCCAGAGTAACGCGAGATGCAATCAATCGAAATATATGCAGTTTTGAAAACATGCATGCGTTGACCTGAGCTATATATGCAGCATCGATGGAACTGCAAACCGTATTCCATGGTAGATGTGAATAAAGAAGCGAAGGAAGAACAGAAAAGCTCCTCAGAAGGAATATACAGTGAAACCTGTGGATTCGGCCACCTTGATATTACAGCCCCCCCCATTTGCGGCCAGAAATGCTCAGTCCCAATCGTTAGCTCCATAGTCTCAATGTTGAAATGACCTGTTTTATCCGGCCACCTGTCTAACGCGGCCGAGGATTTGCAGACCCTCTCTGTGCCGGCCACTCTTTAATCCGGGCAGAATACAGGAAGGAAGATTGCAGGCAGATTTTCTTCCTCTTAATTTCCCTGTCTTATAGTCTCCCACCTTTCCTCTCTCTCGCTTCCCTTTCCGCTCCCCCTCCCTAATCCCCGAATTGACCCGTTGCTTGGTTGTCAAGGTCACATCTTCGGAGTTTCGATAGTGTGAAAACGATCATCAGAGTGTTGACTTGTTCTTCCGTGTATCTTACTACCTTTCTTTAAGGCCATTGAGTGCCGTGGAGAAGCCTAAGTGCTATTTGGCAGAGAGAGGGGATGGGTGCAGGAGTCACTTGACGTGATCACGAAGCTCGAAGCGTCTCTGCAGGAGCGAGTGTGCTTACGCAAAATGAGCGCGCGTCAAACAAACATGAAAGACCTCCTGTTAATGAAATCAGGGTCTTCAAATTTCTCTCGGTGTACATGAAAATTTAAAAAATCCAACAAAATCAGACTACGGTACCTTTGGTGGATACAGTGTGTTTAATTTTCTTGGAAAACTGACTGCCAAGTACCTCTAGGTTTGCCTAGAGGAAAAACCAGAAAAAAATTCCCCTTTCATACCGGCCGAAATTAAGAAGTCCCCCTTGTTGCCGTATTACACAGGTTTCACTGTATTGGGCCTTGCGGCCGAATCCTGCACGATCTAGAGTCAATTCCGTAGCACCTATACGTATCAGACGGATAGAGAAGTAAAGAAACTAATAATAATAATTATAAAAAATTAAAGTAAGAAAGCGCATGCTTCCCGCTCGCATCTTTGCCCCGCGCTGAAGTAACTTCCACAACTTCCACCTATCATAAGCTTGCACGCACGAACTTTTGTTTTGGCGCTATTCTCTGTCCGCAAATGCATTGCGAAGCCTATTGAAACCAACGATACCACCAACCATGCTTTGTGGCAGCCTCGCACCATGAGTAATATCAATATTATTATTTGCAATTCTTTTTTTTTGCAAAATGTTTGATGTGACCTTGCTTGAATGCATTCTCGTGTTACGTTTGTCTTTACTAAAATGCCATGACTCAAGGCACGCGATCTATAAAAACAAATTGAAAACGTGGTACGGTTGGTTCGTATTGTTGTCCCCCCCCCCTCCCCCCCATCCATCAGTCTGCTGTCACCACTGTAAGTCCGTTTGCCCCAAAAATTGCCTCGCGGGAATCTCATGTTCATGTTCCTGGTTTTTCTGTTTCTGTTTCCGTCCCCCCCCCCCCCCCCCTTCGCCTTCTGTTTTGTTCTTCCATTTCTGGTTATATGACTCAGTTCAACACGACATTGACATTAAAATGGGAAAAAAAAATTTTGGGACTTCCACTCCTCGCATGACAATCAACATCTAAAGAAAATACACCGACTCTACGAAGTTTATCCTAATAGTGAAATTTACGGGCTCGTGTAGACGACACTAAGATAAATGGACACTGCGCGGCCTCAACGGTGCCGAGTCATTCATTTCCCTAACGCTATGGCTTATGGCCTACGGCATTTTTTCAAGAGCCACACTGCCTTAGATCCCGTATATTGATTAAATAGGTGAAGAGAAGGATAGTCTATAGTCATATCCACGAGTGGTGGTGACAGCGAACGGAAGAGATTTGGGGAGAGGGGGTGGTGACGTCTTGGCATATGGCGACTCTCATAAGGAACAAGAGTGGAACGCGTACGGCATCATATCAAGCCCCGAGTCTTTTACATTGATTAAGTAAATGAAGAGAAGGATATCTCGATATGTATTCCATGAGTGGTGGCATAGAAGACTGAAGAATGGGAGGGGGGGGGGGGGGGTGTGAAAAAACGAACCATACGAAAAACGACACATTAGCCTATGGTGCGCGACTTATGAGACACCCTGTAGAATCAGTATTCTACATTACCCTTGTAGGAAGTGAGACAACTGACGTTTGACAAGACCCTCGGAGGGAGTGAGATCGTTGAGTTGAATTGAATGAGCCCTTTTAAGTCTAATTGATGGCATCGCTAGCAGCGATCGAAAGTCATAGTGTAACATTAGATCTTAGCCTCAGCGTTAGCATACTAGTCTTCAAACGTATTTTAGGGTGGGTCAATTGAAAATAAAATAAGGGCGAGGGAAGTGGATGTCATCGGTTTTCTTAACTTATGAAATTTACAAAAATGTATTCATGTTGACTAGGCCTATGGTATGTGAATGTTGCAGTTTATACCCTTATGCCCAATCTTTGAGGAAAGATTCATTAGTAAGAAGGGACTCCAGGGTCATGGTTAGACCTCGGCAAATAAACTATATAAATGAAAATAAATGTGGTGATGAATTTGGTTCTAGGAGGGAAATATTGAAAGAATTGAAAATCATACTTCCTTAACATCAGATATTCCATATTATATATAATAGAACATTGGATTTTCAGAAAAGGTCAATATTGTTACATCCCTATAAAGAATAGAGGGCAGATAAATATGACCTAAAACTTGCTTTGAGTATGATAAGGAAATATGCCCTTTTATTTTGATTATAGCAAATAGTAAACCAAGCTAAGAAGTCTTGGAACCATGGGGAGATGGGGTAATAGGAGCAACTTTGTGGAATAAGAGGGGCAGATCAGCAATGGGAGATCTGTAGACATTGTACAAAAGCCAATGCCATGAAGATGCATATACTGTCTACATATATTGGGTGGGTATCTTGTAATTGCTATGGCTAAAATTGAAAAACATTGTTTACTACTGCTAACAACTCATCTTTGTGGATATGAGGTGCTTATGACAGTTTAGTAAAGTGAAAGCCTGTGAGGGCTTAACAAGTGGTATAATGTGGCGGTAACCTATGAAGAGAAGCTAATACTATTAACTTGGGCAGCAAAGATGTATTTCCCTTTCCTTTTTTTTTCAGCTCATTCCCCTATCACCTTATGAGATGCCTAAGTCTCCATCAACAATAGAGTCTTTGGCATCTCATAGAACTTCTCTGGCCATTAGAATCATAGAATGCCTTTATCTGACAACATAGTTTAAAAGTGCCATATTAAAGATAATTGTCACCATCATTTCCTATGGTGTTGGTCTATCTAGGGAAAAAGCCAAGGCTACTCCTTTGGAGAAAGGTTATTTACACTAATTTATTGGGGATTGTTTGCAAGAATTTCTTGTTTGATTAACAATATGTTATTAGTGCCATAGATTTTAGGTACATTGAGTAGGCCTATGATTTTGATCCAGTGACAAAACAGGCTGTCTTATTATGCAGTTTGCAAGCATGGATCTTGGTGGGCAACCAAGCGTGAACCCTTGTCCGCCACCACAGGCTCCTCCACCCCAGCGTTATGTCCCCCCTCATCTCCGCAATAGGCCAGCTCAAGGTGTGTACACTTAGAAAGTCAGCCTTTGAATTTGTACCTTGCTGCCAGAAATGGCTAAATATGAATTGCAACTTGATTCAAACCAGATGTAGGAGCATGATGACTTCAATCTGACCTATTTTTTAAGTCTGTGCATGCTGGACTAAACATGTATTTAACACAGTATGGCAGAACTAGCATCACATCTTTTCCCCTAGAGGGCTGCAGGCGCCAGAATCTGTTCTTTTTTCTCACAGTCCTGATCATTTCATACTTAAAGTAATTTATGGAAAATGGGGCTTTTTAGTGACTGATGAGGATATATTAAAGATAATTGTATAGGTTGATATGGTTAGAAATTTGAAAAGTTTGGTTTCTTTATTTTTAAAATATTCTTTTTGGGTATGTGATTGAGCTAAAAAATTATCCAGTAAAATGTGATTCAATGAGGGATTGTTATTCAAAAGTGATCTTGATTCAAATATATCAGAAAAGTTTGATTTGGCCATTTCTGTTGCCTACTTCCAGGCACATGGCTGATATCAACTTTTAGAATTTTCTCTTTATGGCAGGAGACATGGGTGGGAATAGTCGCCCCGAGTATGATGGCAGCTCCCGCGAATTTTACCGAGGAGGATGTGAGCAAATTGGCCTTTCTGTTATTCCAGAAGTTCTGCAGTGCATGTCATGCCTAGGCACTTAACTCCTCACCAATTGATGCATGTATCATCATCTAATTTGCTTGTTACAATATATTTCTTCAGATTCTCGTGGTGGGGGACGAGGGGATGGAGGTGGATATCGTGGTGGTCGTGGAGGCTACAGCAATACCAGTTTTCAGGGAAGACGTGACTTTGCAAGACCTAAGTAAGACCATGAAGCTATCTCTTACATTTTAAAACTATTATAGGGGATGTCAGATCTAAAGGGGAAGTGTGATCTGACGTAAAGGCAATGATGTGTTATACCTGGAATGGTGAATTTCATACTTTATGTACCTTAAGGAAAGACTGTCATTAACTTGGGAAATTATCAATTTTGCATGGAACTTTCTAAATCCCTCTATCAGGGAAGTCAAATTTCTCCCTAAAGTTTATTTTTGTCAGTTAAGGAATTGTTTTGGATATATCATGAATGGGTTGTTCGATTCAGTGACAGATTTGATGGCCCTCAAAATGACCGCTGGATTGAGAACGGACCACCTCGTTACGGCAACTCATCCAACAGAGGCTTCAGTCGGGGATTTGATAACAGTAACAGGCGGTGGAATGAACCAAGGAACAACCGCTGGACTGAGCCAGAACCATCAGAGGATGGTTACACGAGCAATGAGGACTGGTCTGTCCCACTCCCAAGGGATGACAACATTGAGCGGGAACTGTTTGCTGAGGCTAGTACAGGGATCAACTTTGACAAATATGAGGACATTCCTGTAGAGGCCACTGGTGATGATGTCACTGGCCACATTGGCTCTGTGAGTTTCTTCTCTTGAACCTCTGTTGCAATGCAGACCTTGCACTTTTGGTTCTGATAGTATTTTGACTCCATTAGCAGTCAAAGTAAGGAGTCAGTGATTTGGAGATGTAGTTTAACCCTTTGGTTTGGCTTAGTTTGTTACGTGGTCAAAAATTTGAATTTGTAAAATATTTTTTACAGCTTCTATGTGAAGGTAGTTCCACTAGAGCATCATGCTCATGTTCATTGACATCACAGATTTCAGAATATCACTTGGGTGTGCCATAGCAATCTCTAGTAGTGTCTTGTGATATGAAGCACCCCTGATAGATGTGTTCACAATTGTGGACACAATGTAGCATAGAGCTTATTCATAGTTCTATTGTACAAATCTAGTGACAGTGCTGGATTAATGAGATTTTATGCCTTTGAATGAGGTATTCTAATGTTGTGTGAGGAAAATTTTCCAATTCCATAGGGAAATGAAATGTAGAGAAATTATAAAAATGCCAAAAATGAAAGGTTGATTGAAACTCACCTCTTTAAAAAGATTGCATAATATTGCCATTTGTACTATCAAAAAGTAAATATGCACACAATATTCAGGGTTCTAGCTAGGCCTTAGTAACTGGGTAGGGCCACCAATAATATTTTGGAATTTTTGTTGCTGCCCAGTTTACAAATAAAAAAGAAGCAGCTGCTCATCAAATGCAGGGTCTTTCTCTCTTGGCATATCCCCAACTTATGACTTATGTATCTGCTGAAGCAATCCCAGTTATTCAGCTATGCCATGGTATGGGCTGACCAGCCAGTTGAGTGCATGAATAAGCCTGTAAAGGTGTTGTCCATCCAAATGATGGATGCAGGAAATGCATTGTGCAAGCACCAAACTCCTCTCCAATCCCACCTCCTCATATTTTCATTCTTTCCCATTCACAAGCTGAATTTAGAAACTCTTAACTCTTTCCTGAGTGGGTTCTGCCACCCATAGCAGCTGTGTAGAGTGAGTTGTCAGAGTGCACCTGAGCTGTGCTCGATTTTGCTAATTCCAGTGTTCAGAGAAAACAAATAATTATTCTATTGAAATAAAGGAAAAGGGTAATTTGGCTACATGTCCATCAGTCTTTCGCCTACACTCTTATTAGTGGGAATGATGATGATGGTAGAGTAAGATGAGGACTAGAACCTTTAGATTCAAAATTATTTTTACAGAAATAATAATAATGAATTTTTAATGCAGGACCATGCTGCGCTTTGACCAGTAAAGGCGTCATACACATGGGTTGAAAGATTCAACTTAAGCTTTCCTATTATTTTCCTAGTTGTTAATGGCAAAAATGGAGGAAAAACATATATACAGTCTGAAATTTAAAGTAAAATGTACTACTAACCCTGGTGGTAGTTCTTACTCATGTTAGATCTGATGTTCTTACCTTTGAGTGGAATCTCATGTGAATCGTTTACATTATTTGTGGCAGTTCTCAGAGATCAAGCTGACAGAAATCATCAGAAACAATATCATGTTGGCACGATATGAGAAGCCAACTCCAGTCCAGGTGAGACCACATTCCTGGCAGGTTCTCAGCTCTTATGTCAATTTTAAAGAGTAATGATCCTCCTCTGGTGATGTCAGAAACATGCAATCCCGATCATCTTGGGTCGTCGGGACTTGATGGCATGTGCTCAGACTGGATCTGGGAAGACAGCAGCATTTCTTCTTCCCATCCTGAACCAGATCTATGAAAGGGGACCATCAAGCAACAATCCTGAGGATGTAAGTTTGGTTACTTAACCTTTGTTCTTCTTCATGAGAGATATTTAAATCCAAATCACTGTTTAATTTTGAAATTCGATTCAGACCAGAAGTGAATACTTAGTTAGGTTTAAGACCCAAATGTGTGAGTTGGAAGGATTCAAATCATTCATATGATTTGAAATTTATTTAGTAGAAAAGAATTGCAGGATGATATGCCCAGTTTCCCAAATAAGAATTGCCCTTGAAAGGGTTAAACTTAGTTACCAATGTCACATTACATCTGATCCTGCTCATAAGTGCAGAACATCATATACTTATCAGAGTTTCTCTGTGGTGAGTCTTGGGAAGTGTATATTGAGAAACAATTGGTTCCTGATGACTATATCTGGGTAAGCCACTTGTTGTATTGTGCCAATGATATTGTTGGACTGAAAATGCCATATTTCCTCCCTAATGGACTTGTGTGTCTGACAGAACCGTGGAGCATACCGCCGTCGTCAATACCCACTAGCACTGATTCTGGCTCCAACTCGAGAGCTTGCCACACAAATCTACGATGAGGCACGCAAATTCGCATACCGTTCCCGTGTCCGCCCATGTGTTGTCTACGGGGGAGCAGACATTGGGCAGCAGATGCGGGATTTGGACAGAGGCTGCCACCTTCTCGTTGCCACTCCTGGCCGCCTGGTTGACATGATTGAGCGAGGGAAGGTCAAGCTCGACTATTGCACGTCAGTCCCTTTTGTATCTGATTCATAGTAATTCTTTGGAATCTGCATGAAATCTTTAGGGTATAATGGAAAGTTTACCTTTGGAACAAAGACATTGAAGGGGAAGGAAAACCCTTCACATTAGTTCCAAGCCCAATGTTGCAATCGTCTGTTCCAGATGCTATGATGAAATTTTTAAATGAAGAATCTGTCAAGAGAAATCACACCTCCGCATGTTCTGTTTCAAAGTAGTCCCCCTTCAGCAGTCACACACTTTTTTCATAGATCTTAAATCTGTGTAAAACAGGGTTGCAAGTGATTTTCTACAGGCACCTGCAGCATTGTCATCATGGCTGCTTGCAATCTCCTTGACTGGAAATGAGGTTACATTGAGCCAGACTCCACATGTCTGGTTCTTTATAACCTCATTCTCTTTCCATGCCTGAAGTTTCAACTAGAGGGTCAATATTTTGATGGTGCTGAGGAGATGCAAACAGCCATAACTGCAGTGCTGCAGATTATTGCAGAAAATTGCTTGTAGCTTTGTTTTTGGTTTTGGACCACTGGAAATAGTGTATGACTGCCAAAGGGACTACTTTAAAAGTGGCTTATGAGGCATTCCAGCTCAAGTGATCAAATGGCAGTTGCTGTGTTCAACAGGGATTTGCTTGAGAAAATCCATGCATGATTACCTCTCTGAGTAATGAAAAAACCCCATGTCAGCACTTGAGCACAAATGGTTCCTGAGATACTCAGCCTCAAAGTTAGCTTCCATGGGGAAAAGTGACCCCCCATGGGTCAAAAGGCTCTCTTTGGCCCTAGAAAGCTAAGACAATGCTGAATGTGATTTCATGGTTGCACTGTTCTCTAGTGTTTTATTCCAAACAACTTATGGATTTTTTAATTTTTTGGAAAATTCTAAATTTTACATGAAAATTTCTAACAATGGAGATCACAGTAGCACAATGAGCTTTCACAACACTAGCCAAACAACAATGGAAATAGCTCAATTTCAACTACTGGAAACACTGGGAAATTATATTTGAAAAGTCCGATTTTGCCAATTTTTACTCACTTTGATGGCTTATATTTCCTGTTTCAGACATGATAGAAACTGTAAACTTGTGCCAAATGAAAGCTCCTTCAAGCTCTTTCTGGGAAGATATGACTTACGCTGTTTGAAATGTCAAGTTTGCCAGATTTTTTAAAGTGAAGAACTCATCTTGAAATAATGTACCAAAATTCCCAACAAAGGGAATCCTGATGACAACCAGGACTGAGTATATTTCTACAGAGACCAGATACAGCTCCAATTCCTTTTTTCCTCTCTCCAGTAGTCCACTGTAGTACAGATTCAAGTCATTGAGAGATTGCAGTAGAATTCAATGCCACTTGACAAGTGTAGACAAACATTGTTAATCACTTTCAATAGTTCAGTATTTGACCTGAATCTGTATTACAATGGACTACTGGAGATAGGGCCTGAATTCACATGGCAAGGTTGCAGCTGCTGGCGTGTCTTTTCTCCGTAAGTAAATCTGAATGCAAATCTAAATGCTGGATCTCAAGGAGTAATTCGACTTTCAGCTCCAGGTAGTCTTAAAGTCACTCTGACATGTCTTTCAAGTTGATTCTGAAATGGTTGAAGAAAAGGAATTACAGAGATTGGTCCAATTTCACTTCTTCATTCACTGATGCCTGAAATAGAGTGTGAGAAAGGAACTAAAGCTGTTCATGGTCTCTGTAGAAGTATACTCAGTCCTGGTTATGTCATCAGGATTCCCTTTGTTGGGAATTTTGGTATATTATTTCAAGAGAAAAATGGAGAGTTCTTAACTTAAAAAAAAATCCAGCTTACTTGACTTTTCAAAATAACAGCATAAGTCGCATATTCCCAGAAAGAGCTTGGAAGGAGCTTTCATTTGGCACAAGTTTACAGTTTTTATCTTGTTTGCATCAGGAAATATAAGTTTCAGGGGCTGTTATGTAAAGAGAAATGTATTCATATAAAAATATGTCATGAGCTACGCTTGCAACATTGATCTAAATTTCAGTTATTTGGAAAGACTTCATCCTTGGTAATGCTGAACTTAATGAAGTATCTCTGAAATTGGGTTGTAGGTATTTGGTGTTGGATGAGGCAGATCGTATGCTGGACATGGGATTTGAGCCACAGATTCGGCGAATCGTTGAGGGAGACAAGATGCCTCCAACTGGGGAGCGGCAGACCCTCATGTTTTCTGCTACTTTCCCCAAGGAGATCCAGGTTTGGTTCTGACTGGTTTGGATTTGACAGGGATTACTTTAGAAACATTGATTTTTATAAGTGTAAAAATTTACTTTTGCAATTTTCAAAAAGCATCTTGTGGTCTTAACATGCAAAGATGAGTAACCTAGCCTTATTGGTTGAAAACAAATGTTCACTACATACTGTCCCATTATATATAGGCTGAAGAAAAAGCTACAGTTAATCAGAAATAAGTTTAATTAAGGAATGAAGCCAGCCATGAAGTATCATGCAAACTTGAAAAAAATCCTTTCCTGAGCAGGAAAATAATTCAGGCCTAAATGCACAAACCTCAGTTAGGCAAGATAAAGAGGCTTTTAAGCTAAAGGGCACCTTTCTGAGTCCATGTATTCTTAAAGGACTGTTAACTAACAGTATCAGTATTCAGGCCTAAGTGTCCATCAGAGGGGGAGGGAAAGGAATAGGTTTATGCAAAAAACAATGAAGTAAATGAGATTTTGAAAGTGTTTCTGACAGGAAATAATTCACCTTTATTTATGTAATGAATGACAATTTCAGGGACTCTCTATGGCATAGATCAGGGGTGTCCAACTCAATTTGGCAGGGATCAAATGATTTGGTTCAGGTGTGTATGGGAGCCTCAATAACGAATCATACACCACATTTTTAATGTGAACAAGTGAAATTTGCAGCAATTTTCCTGAATCAACTGTTAAAGAGGAATTTCCGGGCTGGAGAAAAGGAATTAGTGGGTTGGATCCAGCCCATGGGCTGCCAGATGGACACCCCTGGCATAGATTATATGAAGTGGAAGATTTTGTGCTATCCTACAGCTATCATATAATGCACCATCTAGAGTCACACTTTTTTTTTCTGGAAAGCCCTTCCATGCATCAATTTTGCATCAACTTAGAGCTTGATTCCTTGTAGTGATCAAGTGCTACTACAACTTTGTTCCTTCTGTCCACAGACATTTCATGGTAACATAAAACTGAATTGGTAAAAATTGGGGATCTGTTGATTTCAATTAGGGAGAATGATGTGCAAACCCTTAAAAAGCCATACATAATTATATAGAGCTGGAGGTGCTTTTTTTTGGCAAAACTAATTACACAGTAATTGGATAACAATATATTTATAATAAGTTTGCCTATGACTCCATGATTCTGAGGAAATTAAGAACAGAAAAGCACATTTTCTCAGCAATATAAATGTTAGGGTTGTCTAGACAAGTTACTAATTTCTACATTTTGAAGAATTAGGATATGAGGCATGCTCTAGTTCCACATGGATGATGTTTTTCTTTTGAAAGAAGTTGTTTTGTCCTTTTTTCAGAATTTCTTGTGTTGGTATTTTTTTTACTCCTTTTAGACCTGAATTAAGACTGCTATCGGTATAATATTCTTTTTTGCATTTTTGAACTCTTTCGTGGTTGTAGTTGAAATTTTCATGCTTTATGGACTTTCATGCATTTTTTATATTTTGTATAAATTTACCATGTCATATATTATATATTATACATTTAATTAAATAACTGAAGATTACAAAACTAATGGGTGAAAGAAGGCCTCTGATGGAACTGGGCCATGCATAATTGCGCCCCTTGTAGTGTAATATGGAGCGCAAAGTCACGAGAATCCTAAGAAATTGCCATAGACACAATGTAAATGCAATGTCCATTGGAATGGATGCCAGGTCTGAAAGGGTTAACTTCAAAAACCCCTAAAACTTGACTTAAATTTTTATCCCACAGTAACCTTGATAGTAGTGACTCATTCAAAAGAGTGCTTTTCACAAGTAAATGATTTGAGTTAATATCACAAGCCAAGGTTAGAGGCTGGAGGCAGGCTAGAAAAACCCCTGCGAACGAGGTTTGTGGGAACTGAGACGTGTGGGTGGGTGGCCCACTTAGTCAGTTTGCATATCCTTCCTGGGAAATTCCAATTAGTTGCCTCAGGTTTGTGGGGGGAAAAAAATATTTTTCCTACACTGGGCTGGAGTCTACTGTTCCTAACAAACCTCAGCCACATTACACATTCTATGCAGCAAACAATAAATTGTACTCTTGTCACATAACACTTATTATTTCACTTTCCATTATTTTGGGTGTTATCAGATAGGTGGGTTATTATTATCTAAGTGCTTGATTACTTGTAATTATTTATGCTGCTAGGTAAAACTCCCCTAGTGGTTACCACTGACCTCCCCACCCCTCTTTCCTGACTTACAATAGTAGTACCTTCATATATCACTAAATTTCCAATTTTGAAAATGGGACCAAAAACCCTCATCAAAATTGAAATTATTTTTTGTATTCCTCCTGCCCTGATTCCCTATTGCCTTCTTGGTTAAGTTATGATGAGTAGAAGCCTCCTGAATGTGAATTGTTGCATGATGCAGATCTTGGCTCGGGACTTTTTGCACAACTACGTGTTCCTGGCTGTGGGAAGGGTTGGGTCCACATCAGAGAACATCACCCAGAAAGTGGTATGGGTAGAGGAACAAGACAAGCGCTCCTTCCTTCTCGACCTACTCAATGCCTCCAAATATGATCAGGACAGTATGTTCTTGCCTTAAGGACCTTTCCCACTTCTTTATGTAGCCACTGTTGGAAGCCTATTGTGGCTTTTATGTTCTAGCTAAAAACAAGAGGAAAAGAAAAATTTTATTTTCTGAAAGCAAGGAGTGTAGAACTCACTGTAGCTGTTCAGTGTAGCCCAGTTGATTTTCCAGGAAGTATCCATGCTATGTTGATATGTAGTAAGAAGGTATGCTGATGAAAGGAAGTGATTGTGTGTTGAAGGTACGGAAGCCTTGACACTGATCTTTGTGGAGACAAAAAAGGGAGCAGATTCACTAGAGCACTTCTTGCTTCAAGAGGGCTACCCAGTGACATCAATCCATGGGGATCGAAGCCAGCGGGAGCGTGAGGAAGCCCTCAAGGTCTTCCGCATTGGACGCTGTCCCATCCTTGTGGCTACTGCTGTAAGGACCTGCCTTTTCGTGGATGTGTTCATGTCTCATTCCATCTTTTAATGTCACCATAGTGCCTGGTTTCATTCCCTGTCTGTCTTTAAATTTTATTTATATTGTAAGTTAAATTGAAATTTGGCATGTGCATTTTTCAAGTAATTCTGCTCACATGCCGCTAATGGCTTGCAAATACAACTTAGTGAGTTCTTGTCATATCCATGGCCTCTGTCAATATTCCTGTATGGCAAGGAGACCACAGTGGTGTAATGTAGCCATTAGGGAAATTTATTTCATCCAGAAGCAGAGAGTTTGATTGTTGATAGCTATATTCATTTCCAGAATGCCTTAGGTAGGAGTCATTCCAGCTCATTTTTAAATGAAAATTTTTGGCTTAAATTAGCTCTACCTGGAAGTCAAATGGACTGTTTGGGGTTTAAGCAGGTGGTGGGACCAGTAGGTATCCACCTCCCCATGGGTAGTTTCTCAAGTGATTTCCCAGACACTGTGTTCTACAGGGTGTCCACAAAGTCGCATATCATAGGGAAATAGTCTATTTAATTTATTTGATTTAATTAATTAAATTTTAGTTTTCTTTCAGCCCAGATATGTTGAGCAACATTCAAAGAAACCTGCTTTTCTGTTTACAAACATGTTTTGAGATTGGTGGGATGCATTTCGAACAATTGATGTAACCATCCTTTCAAATGAATGTTGTTTTCCCTATGACTTTGTGGACACCCTGTATACTGTTGTACTGTGTTCTGCAAATGTTGCTTCTGTCCTAATCCTTCAGCCATGCAGGAATGAACTAAGCATGAGGACCCAGTCCATCTGATTTAGATATACCACTATACTTGGGCTCTCTTTCTTATGCATGTGCTTCATTCCTTCTCTTTGCAATCAACAGGTGGCTGCACGTGGGCTGGACATCCCACATGTGAAGCACGTCATCAACTTTGACCTTCCCACTGACATAGAGGAATATGTCCATCGCATTGGGCGTACAGGACGCATGGGGAACCTGGGCCTGGCAACCAGCTTCTTCAATGACAAGAATCGCAACATCATCAGGGATCTGCTCGAGATCTTGGTTGAGACCAAGCAGGAGATCCCCACCTGGCTGGAAGGCACTGCTGCTGAGACCAGAGCATCTGCCATGGGTCGACGCCAGGGAGGACAGAGACGGTATGTTTGCTTATTTTTTATGATACAATTACTTTTTATTCATTATTTACTATTTATTTATAGGGCCTCATTGCCCATGAACATAATATCTGATAGTGTGTGGTTTACACCATGCACTGGTTCCAACAGATTGCATTCTAATATCAATCCCCATTTTCAAATTGTTATTCTTTAGAAGATGGCATTTTTCATCTTTCAAATCCATATCTTGTTCCCTTGTATGTTAGGAAATGAGAAGATGGCATACATGTCTAGTTCTGATTTTGGCATTGTTTTATACTTCATGCTAGTGTGCTTCATATGTCATTTTGCTTTTGTGTTAATGATCAATTGTTGTATAGGTAAGAGGTGTTTATTATAGCACTTTGTGTGCGATTGGTTTAATTGATTTGCAGCTTCATAGTGTTCTGATACTATTCACTATTTGCATATAAACATGCATCCACATCTGATTCAATTTCTTTTCTTAATCATCCTATACCCACAGTAATTGGTTAGAACCAGTTGTACATCATTCATTTGTTGGTTGTGTTAGTCACTTTGGTGTTCCCTTTATCAATGATGATGTTAAATGTTTTATTTATGCAGATATGGGTCAGGAGGATTTGGGTCTCGTGACTACCGTCAGCAGGCTCGTGGGGGTGCCCCACCCAATCCTCGTGGAAATGCTGTGTTTGGCGTGCCTGGTTTGTTTCTTGAGCTTGCTCTCTCTTAACCACTCCCTCTTTCCTTCTCCCTTCATCTCCATCCTTTTTCATTTTTTGTACAATGGTTTTTTTTTTTCCTTCCTTCTTTTCTTCTTCAATTTGTTTTTTCTTCTTTCAGCCTACAACCCATATGGAGGGTACCCTGCCTATGGAGGAGGGTACGGAGGGAGCTACAATCACTCCACTGCTCCCGACTGGTGGAGTGCCCAATGAAAACCCACCTTGTCTGATTTTCCCCTTTCCTCCAGCTCTTTTTTATGTAAGTAATCATTGCCATTTTACATTACATGACTACACTGTAAAGATTATTGCATTCCCTGTACTTACCTTCCCACTTGTTCAGCAAATGAGATCACCTACTTGGAGCATTTGGCTATTGCTTTTGTCTGCCACCTAGGTTTCCCAACCAGTTTTTTTATTATTATCTGAACCAGTATGAATTATAGAATTTGAGACAGCAAAAATTCTCACCATCAATAGTACATGACAGAATATTAGCTGTTTTTTTGAGAATCAGTAATCTAGTGCTCTCCTTACGAGATACCCATGTTCTGGCATTCTTGTCGTTGGTGGTCTACATTGATGTTTTTCTGGTCATTGGTGGTCTACGTACCAAAACATGTAAAAAGTTTATGTGCGAAGGTTCTTTAACATTTTTTAAATTTTGGAGTCCCGACTTGAATTCACCTTATCTCAACATGAACTTTATCCTTGTTGACACCACACCTCTCTGACAATTCTAGAAAAAGGATTAATTCCACCCACAGCAGGTAAAGGGATAATCTCTTAATCCTCTGAGCATCAGGGATAGTCTTCAAGGGAAAGACTTGAACCTATAAATTATGAGAACTCTGTCATATTCTCATTCCATCATCATCATGAAGGCTGTTAAGTTTTACTCCGTGATTGCTACCAAAGAGAGTTGTGTTGCATTCTTGTGTGAGCATGGACTGTTGCAGAGTGTGGATGATTTACTGAATTGCCGGAGGTGTGGAAGTGAGGTGAAATTCACAATACGCAAGAAGAAGCTTGCTGATGGTTCCATCAGGGAATACCACACATTGAGATGCACCAGACGTAGATGTCAAGCGCGCACCAATCGATTCGCAAAGGGAAGGACTTCTTTACATTCACAGATGTGAACGAACGCTGCAATAGCCACCTTTCCCTTCAGAAGATCTTGGAAATGTGCTACTACTGGGCACTGGACATTCCACTAGTGACTGTTTCAATATTAACAGGTTGTGGCGCCCACACTGTAAATGATTGGTTTAACATGTGTCGAGATGTGTGTGTTCACATGTTTGACTTGACTCCAATGGGAGGGAATGATCAACGAGTGGAAATCGATGAGGCTCTTCTCCGGGGAAAGAGGAAGGCCAATCGTGGTTGGCTCCTAGCTGGAAATTTACCAGCAGAAGAGCTTCCATCTGATGACTCAGATGCAGGAGGAATAGAGAATAATCATAACCATGGACGTCGATTGTTTGGGGACATGGGTGTTTCGCATCTGCTGGAATCATGATTTGGATGGAAGGAAGATCATCAAAAGACGCTATTTTGTAGTTGATCATCATGATAGAGAAACTTTGCTCCCAATCATTCAAAATGAGGTTGCGCCAGGAACATTGATTGTGTCCAATGAGTGGGCTGCTTACTGCACATTGAGCCAGTATGGATATCAACACGAACCTGTGAACCACCAGACAAACTTTGTCGATCCTATAACTGGTGCCAATACACAGACAGTTGAATCCCTGTGGTCGGTATTGAAATTGAAGATTCTTAGGAAAATGCACGGTACCAACCAAGACATGCTTCCACGACATCTGAAAGAATGTTTGTGGCGCTCAATTAACCAATGCACAAATATATTTTTAAGCCTATTGAAAGACATTTGCCGAGTGTTTCCATGAGGGTTACATTGACGTGCTCATTGTGTCTCACTACCTTGAAGGGTTATGGGTATTGCTTGTAGACCACCAAAGACTGGACAAATATCAATAAATATAGGGTGTAGACCACTGGCCTTAGGTAGACCACCAACGACAAGAATGCCCATGATCTTTCATTGAAGACAACCTGTAATTCTGTTGTTACCTTCATGTTCTCATATGATAACATCCATCTTAGCACTTTGCCTTGAAAAGCTGGAAGTTTCACGTATTTCCATTCCCAACTATTCCTTTTGATACTTGCATTCTCTTTTTACTACTAATGATGAATTAAAGGAATCTCATTTCCAGACCCTAAGGCCTATCTCCCTTAAGGTACTGTGGGAAGATGAAAATCAACGACCCCCCTGGATCGAAATTCCAATTTATAATTGTTGTAAGGGACCTCAAGAAAGGGCCTTGGAGCCAATTGCTGACTCTCTGCAGTCACGCCCAGGGCCATGATTTGAGGTCAAAGGTCACAATTTACATGCATCTTTTTGAAAATGCGTATCTCCCTCTCGAAAACGAAGCCGAAATTCAAAAGTTCCTCTGATAGATCTCTTAAGAAGTCTCTCAAGAAGCTTCGTGTGGATTTTCATGGGAATCCGTTTGCTACTCTCGGAGCCTATCGTTTTTTGCTGTGGCCCATTTTAAAATTGAGACCATTTCTGTCCTACCGGGTCGATTTCCTTGGTTCATCGGTCTCAAATACAGGATTTTTTGTTCCTATCGCATAGAGATATGTTTCAGGAATCAAATGACACCAAGATTGCTTACTTTCTCCCAGGTGATAAAGAACACTATTTGATTATTTTCAGATTTGAAATATATTAAAGGATGACTTAAGACAAATTGATAGAAGATTTTTCATAACCGAAATTCATTCTGAGAAAAAAAGCATTTTGCAGCTGTGTCTTTCTTCTTTTCATTATATGCAACTAGAAGAAATATCCATGAAAGCATCACACCAATAATGCGAGTTGAAAAGAGTGCCCTTTTTTGGGCCACACTGTAGAAATAGGCGCCAGTTGAAGTTGCGTCAGTCTCCTGCTACTCCTTGTACACAGACACACACAATCACCTGCACGCACAAGTGGATGTGAGTCTGGAGGGAGGTCCAAGAAAGAAGAGCTGCGCACGAGGATTCAAGATTTCATGCAAATCGGGAATTAAAACCCCGCGTTCTCTATCACCTGGGAGAAAGTAAGCAATCTTGGTGTCATTTGATTCCTGAAACATATCTCTATACGATAGGAACAAAAAATCTTGTATTTGCGACCGATGAACCAAGGAAATCGACCCTGTAGGACAGAAATGGTCTCAATTTTAAAATGGGCCACAACAAAAAATGATAGACTCTGAGGATAGCAATGGATTCCCATGAAAATCCACACGAAGCTTCTTGAGAGACTTCTTAAGAGATCTATCAGAGGAATTTTTGAATTTCGGCTTCGTTTTCGAGCAATGTCCATCAACCTCGAGTGATTTCCAAAAAAGTGGCATTTTCGCGTGGATCGTCGAACTCTGAGAGGGAACGGTTGGAGGAAACTATGTGCAACTCCGCCAAAAGATGGATCAGGATAGCCTCCAAAAAGTGTAGCATGCTTTTGTCGATAAAAAATTTCTACGAGGAACGAGAGCGAAAAAACAGAATCCAAAAACTGAAATTTTCTCAGTTATGGCGCCATGGCGTCTCAATAACGACAGTTTCATGCATGTACTTATTTTTTCCATTTAGCGCGATATCTTCCAAAGAGAATGGCATGCATTTGACGTTTCTGCGACCAATGGTTGGGGAGATACGCATTTTCAAAGAGATGCATGTAAATTGTGACCTTTGACCTCAAATCATGGCCCTGGGCATGACCGCAGAGAGTCAGCAATTGGCTCCAAGGCCCTTTCTTGAGGTCCCTTACAACAAGTATAAAGTGGAATTTCGATCCACGTCGATTCATCGATTTTCATCTTCCCATAGTACCTTAAGTGAGGTTTTTGCACATTTGAGCCTATATTTTAAAATCTTGCAGTCCATTGGGGAAGGAATTGCATAGATCGGTTGGCCATGAATGAGGCAGCTACTAATTTTGTTCATTTGTTTCTGCAGGTTCTGGGCTCGAGTTGCAAGATTCAGCACCATCACTCCCTCAGTCTGGGTTTCTTGAGGTTGTTACCCAAGTTCAGTCTGAGAAGGAGCCCAGAACATGAAAGACAAAGCAATTGTGAAGGAAAACTAAACAAAATGTGTATTCAGATGTTCATTTATCCCCTTTACAAGAATAAGATGAAAAAAAAAAGATTGGCACAGATGTAGGAAAAATTCCTCTGTGGCTTTGCACATTTGTAGTTTCTCTCTTGTAAATTCTTCCCATTTGTAGTGATCTGGCCCTCACATTGGTGGCATTTCAGCCATGCTGGAGAAACGAGGTGGTGCTCCTTAATTGGCAAAGTGCAGAAATCCATTTTCTTTCTCTTTTTTTTTTGCAATTTCTTATCTCTCCCTCCCTCCCTCCCCTCCTGAGCAGAGATCTCCATGCACGCAGAGTTTGAGTCGATGCGCGTGTCCCCAATTTTTGCATTCTAGTCCTCGGAATGTCGCATTTGTTTTTTGTCCTGCCGTCGGGACTTCCGACACAGATGGGAGCTGAGAGGCTCAGCTCCGGACAAGAGAGAGACGTGAAAGTAGAGTTTGCAATCAAATAAATTTGCAAAACTCAACCCATCCTGTGAGAGACGAGGCATCACAGGTTGCTTCATCTGACAATGGCATGTTATTGTGTTAGGCCTATTTGATGGTGTTTGTGGTGCTTTTGTCCCTATTGGTGGTCTTCCACAGAAGCACATTTTTCAGTTTTGGGACCAAAGTGCTACCATTGTCCTCATTGACATCGTCTCCCTCGAGTCCTTCCCTAAATGGTAAAACCTAGGCTTATCGCAGGCGGTTTCGCAAAAAGAAAAACGCCTCTGACACCCATCTGTGATAGAACTCTGTGAAGGCAGTATTTTGCACTAATTTATTTTGCGATTTGCGAACGAAAGAGCGCGGATCTCGATCAAAGGTGACACATTCGCAAATCTCGGGGGTTTTGCAAGCAAGAGTCCCAAGAATGCGATCTTTCAATCTCCGGGGGCAGCAACTCTCTTGCCTTTACCACTTTGCAATAAATGACTGATTTTGGGGAAATTGCAAGAACTTTGCCATTTTGTCCTTATTTTTGTGTCTTCCGCTCGTGTGGCTCAACCCGGTGCTTGCATTCATTTTCTGCCAAGTACAAAACCTGACTACTGTTTTTTTTTTTCTGCAGAAATCTGCTGATGATATTGGCCAAACACTGTTGAGCAAATGGTATGAGTGAGTGAGTGTTTGCAAACTTTTGAAATTGTTTTCGCAGGGTCTCACCTGTGGTACAAACAAATTTGATCTGCTTTGCATGCCTGGGTGAGCATGACCTTGCCCATGAGAAGAGAAAAAAAAAAGAACAGCTGTGATCAATATCATCAGAGGTACATCCAAACCTCTTTTAATATTTGCAATTTCATTTTTTTTTTCTGCAAGAGTTGAGCCAAGGGAAATGTATCCCCATCTTGTCAGTCATTGTGTTAGAATCTTAGGGAAAAGAAGAAATAGGTACTGCTTTCAGAGTTTTGCGCCTTCCATGTCCATCAAACTCTTATGTGAATATGGGGGGTCTCTGCTTTGCCAACTATGAAAGAACAGGATTGGTATATTTCTGCATGTTCATTTCTCTGCAGGAGGGATTTTCCTCTGCACCACCTCGTCTGTTTTCAGACTTGACCTCAAACTATATGTTGTAAGTGCCGGGCCAAGAATTGCATCTGGCAGGATGGGGTTTTGTCTTGTTTTTTGTTTCTCCCCATTTTGCTGCTTCTCTTCCCTGTTGCTTAGACCAGAGTTTTTCTTTGCAAGTTATTGGGAAATGCACCCAAAAATTCTTTGGAAGAAGCTGCCATTCAGTCTCATGAATTGGTGTTCCCCCCTGCTGCTTGTCAAATATGATCACAGATGACAGTATTCCTGTTCCTTTTCTTGGTTTCTTCTGATCATGTCATGATGAAAGTGTGCTTTGTTGTCTTCAATATGCCTTATGTTATTGCATCATGAAACATTGGTGTGATATTTCATTTCATGAGAAATTGTGGTAGAATTAGATGTGCTACAATATCTTGACTGCATCATAATACAGGTTTTCAGAGAGTTCTTGGGTGCATTGATACCGTAATTATCCGTGATGATTTTTCAAAGACAGAAGAAATGTTCTGGGTAATTTATCCTCCCCCTTTACCATTCAAATACAGTAATATTGGATGTCCAAGATTAATCCCTCAATAACAGAAATTTATTTCCTTATCATTCATGCTGTTTTTGAGGTGTTCCTTGGATTTGCATCTGCAGAAATCCCAGTTGTTTCTTTCATTTGGTTCATAGTTCTTGTTCAAAGCATTGCATTCAGGTTTTTCACTGTTGGTCATCCGGCAATGTGTTGGTCAGTCTGTCTGTTGTAAGTGGTGAAAAAAATCTTCAGTTGGTGAAGGTGACAGTAATAAACCTTCCAAGAATGTCAGCATGTTGTTTTTTCTCTTGGTTACATTTTATTTTTTGGATGATTTGGTAAAAAATATGCCTTAATGCTTGAAAGCATTAAGTGATTTGAGTGCCCTATGGGTGTAGGACATCATGACAGCTTGAGGGCTCATTGTTAATAAATACACAACTCATTCTGATGGGCTGAGAAATGATGTACAAGTAAATATAGGGAAAGAACAATAGGGATATGTTTATCAAAACTTACTAGTGGTGCAAATTACTAATACTAGTCTTGTACATAACTAGTGGATGATGCTCAAATACTTGAAATGCCACTTCTAACTTTGTGTTTGTAATTTAGTGTTTCAGCAAAAAAATTAATTTCTGTTCAACTTGAGGTTTGGCTGCATACATTAGCAAAATACCTCCAATTTTAAAAGATTAATTCTCACACTCTGGATGATTGAAATGGTTTAGAGCAAGGAAAGATATGTTCTCAAGCAATTCTAATGAGTGATGCACCAATTATTAGCCATTGTTGCAAACATTCAGTGGTTGATTTCAAAAGGGCAGTTTGGTTGCAGTTCAGTTACGGTTACAGTTGAGTTTTTCGTTCAAGATTGGTCAAAATGTGCCATTTGAACCCAAGTCAGACTGCATTTGCAAGAGTCTGTGTTGATGCCCCATCCAATCTTCGTCAGACTTCAGTCTGACTATGGTTCCAACTAATTAGTAAGCCTGAAGCCTCTCTTCTGTCATGGTGCCTGAGGAACTCAAATTAGACCTACCCTTAGGCAACTGTCTTGAGGGGAAGGGCAAGCTAATAAATATATATATGTCTTGGTTTCTTCTTCCTCTGAGTTGAAGTTGGTTCTGCTTGCTTTTCCTTGTCATGTCATGGTGGAACGAGGATGATACATTGCTTGCCTTTGCCATTCGCAAATTGTGCCTATGAAGCACCCTGCATGCGATCAAGTCCTAAAGCGGCAATGTATGAAGCAGAACACATGCCCATCGACAAACAGTCATGAATATGACACCAATCTGTGGCTGTCATCAAACCGTTTCAATTCATTCATGTCAATAATGGACAAGGAAGTTAAGAATGGGTCAATGAGAAGTCGGACCACAACTGACTGCAGTTGAACAGAGTAGTAACCAAGGCGAGTGGCAACTGCAGTCAAACAGGAACTGGAGAATAATTTTTAAATCTCAGTCTGTTCAAACTCCAGTCGTAGTTCCAGTTGACTGCAACTGCAACCAAACCTGGGACCATCTTCGGATTATAGTTCAACTGCAACTGAACTGTGGCTTTGAAATCAACCAGTGTCCCATAAGTCTGGAACCATTGGTAGTGTATTTCCTTAATATTTAACAGTTTACCTGGGGTACCGAATACCCAATGAATTGAACATTTAATATAATTATATATAATTTTAAATGTGTGCCTGTTGTTCCTGACTCATGGGACATCATGCATATAAGCAACAAGCTGTATGGTTGCCAGAACATACCAGGTTAGTCACTTCCTAATTTTAAAATGTAACTTTTTTTCCAATGAGGATAGAAGCCTCTTTCTTGCAGCATTTGAAAGCCACTTTAAATGGAATTTTCTCCTTTCACACTTCAATAACAGCTCTGGTATTGTCATTTTCCAAGGCTGCATGAAAAAGGTTTTTTCACCATTGTGGAGTGCTGCCTGTTGAAGGTCATTCATTTCAGTTTTCTGTCATGTCTTTTACTGAACCAATCATCTTGTTGTTGCAATTTTTAATTGTCTTGGGGCTAAGGGCTTCACACTTGAGATTTTTACATTGCCACCACTTCTGAACCCAAACCAGACCTTCAAACCTCATATAGGGTGTCAAAAAGTAATGCAGGGTTTTGACCCTATCCCAGTTGCTCCTCAGGGGGACACCTCTGTTCAAGTGAATAACTGAAATCAAACAGGAAAGGGTCATGTTCATCCATGTCTCAGAGATAGTACATGAGCTGTGCCAAGCTGTCTTTAAACTAGAGATGCTTGAAATTCCATATGTATTACAGCATGCAGAAATGTGTGAAAAATTCTCCCCCTAGTTCATTGTTGATCAACAGATGGCACCAGTGGCAAACACCCAAGTAGTTCCTTAATCTGTGGTTAGCAACTGATCAAGCTGTGTGCATTCAAACAAATGACCAAGACATGTCAAAGTTCATGTTGTGCATTTTTGCATGCTGTTCTAATCACACATTTCCAGCCAAAAAATTAGCCAACAGGACTTTCCCATTAAAACAGGGATGTCATGTCATCCTGAGATTTCTGCTTTTTGGTGGATCATCTGCCATAAGGAGGGACAGATTCCTCAACTTCTATTCACCAGGGTGATCCATCTCCAGGGCAAGAGTATGCTATTTTGTGAGTTGATTGGCAACTGAAAGGTTGCCAGGATGATGTAGACATTTATGAGACATGGTTTGGTCTTTCATTTGTTCATTTCACGATGTGCCTCCTTCATTGCATGATTACATAGGGTGGGTGATACAAATTCCGACCCAGCTATAAAGTCTGCCCCCATGCTACACATTTCAATGTAATCAGAAGTACAAACAGCCTTTTTCAACCAAATTACACCAATGCCCGGTCTCTGAATGGGCAGTGTGTGCTTTTTCCTCTCGATTGGCATAGATCCCAAATATATACAGAGTGGGCCAAAAAAAACCAAGCTATCATTTTTGAAGAGTCATCAATCTCTTTGTAGACTGTCGATTTTGATTAAAAGTGGTAGACTTATGAGGTGACATAATTGGAGTTTGTATACCAAATTTCAGCCATCTGCCTTAAAAATGACAGGAGTTGTAATTATTTTCTGACGACCAACGACAAAATGTGCTGTCGAAAATATTGATATAACCCTGAGGCCAGGATGAAACAGTGGTCCCAAATTCATTGACCTTCCATCCCTGCATGATGCTACAAAGGAAGATTGGGAGGCACTGCCTCAAAGGTTTATTGACCGAGCCATTGATCTGTGGTGTCCCAAGACTACAAGCTTGTGTTCAACAGAATGAAGGGCACATTGAGCACCTTTTCAATTGAAACGTACATCCCTAAACCAAATTGTGTGCTTTTGTGTTTGGCATTTTTGCATCTGTTTTTTATCTGCTTGCTTGGTTGTTTATTTCTGTCAGTTGTGAGAATTTTAAAGCTAAAGAAAAAATGAAAACTTACTTTTTTGGTGATGAAATGTAAATTAAATGCCAATCTCACAATTTTTTTAATTTTTATTTGAAACTTGACACACAAACCCTAATTGAGTCACCCTATGTGTATACCAAATGTAATCAAAATCGGTTGCATACAATCATATTAACAGCTTACCAAAAATGATATATTTGTTTTTTTGGCCCACCCTGTATATTTCAAACCGTGATTTTGAGCTTAAGGGGGTCGGAATTTGTATCACCTTCATTGTACTTGTGAATACATTTGGGAGGGGAGAGATTGATGTGGTTCCACTTCAGGTGGAATCACAGGTGCTGAAGAATATTAGAGACAGGTCTTTCCTGAGCATTTTTTAAAGCATGTAATTTTCCTCCATGCTTCCAAGTATGAAGAATATAAAAATAAATAAGGGGAGGAGTATGGATTCCTTAACTACTTCACAAATAGATGTCTCAGTACCTCCATGTGATTCACTCTGAATACTGCATCTAAGTTCCTTGTCTCGTGATATAGGGAAGTCAGGCCATTTTTGACATCACATTCTACTCACATCAGCTCTGGCTTTACCTATCTTTGATGGATGGACTTGGACAGGATCTCTGGCTTTTATCCAAGGGAGGCCCTCCCACACCTGGGACCAAAACATTTTCTCATATAAAATAGTTAAAAATTTTCCCACATCATGCACATTGTAAAACCCCCCAAAAATATATGCATCATTGTTTTCCTTATCAATAACTGCAACCGATAGATGACATTGCTTTTCATTCAAGAAAGACATCTGTGAACGACTCTACAAATAGGTAAACATTATTGGACCACATCGTCCTCATATCAACAGTTGAATGAAAAATGATCCTTTAAAAGATTTAATACAAAGGCGAACTCAAGAATCACTATCTTATGTAATAAAATGCATCACCACCAAAAACACCTCAGAAGAAACCTCAAAGCAAATCATTCCAGGAAATAATCAAAGACAAAATGGATGAATGATGGCAAAGGAAAGCCTGAGATTACTACAAGCATTAATCACAGAAACAACAGATGTATGAGTGGGTTCACAGTTCCAAAGATTGTTTATCCACGATTTTTGACACTGCAATCAAAATAATACACCAAAACAAATATTGGAAGGGCTAGGAGAAATGGTGACCAGGAAAACATTCACACTCCTTTATATACAGCACATGGGTTGGTTTTGTAAATAGTTTTGTAAACTAGCACATTCATCCATTTACGGGTAAAAATGTACCTTGTGAATACCTTTCAGTAGGGCTGCCAATTCAATAATTCTATTCAACTGATTAATGTTTTACAGATTGAGGGACAAAATTAATCATGATGGATCAGATCTGGGATTCCCAACCCTTGGATCTGGTGGCTTGTATTGAGAGTGGGTGATGATATTGTGATCGATGCCATCATCCAACTGGTAAAATGAAGGTGAACATGGAGATTAGGCATGTAAAATGTAGTGCTGTTGGGAGGTGTTGATGCCACTTCCACAATTGCTGGGTTTTATTGGGTGCTCCAATGCCTCAATAGACAAAGAATGGGAGTTTCAGAATTTGCATGTCAAGTCAAGATAGTTCCACAGAGCCAGGAAAACTGAGGAAAGGCATATGGGAAGGTGACAAGCTAGCCACTGGGTTTTTTTTTATACTCCCCTATTGCAAGTGTGCACTCATTAATGGCTCTACAATGGACACAAGATCCTCTAAGCAATTCCTGCTCCTCATTCTTTCCTCAGCCAAATATAAGGTGGATAATTATAAAATATATGAATAGTAATAAAAAAAAAGAAGCAGTGCCTGACTTTTTCATGTTACACTATGAAAAATTTTAAAGTCATGAGAATGATGCATGGAGGACAACATCCAAGGATATTTCAAAGTAAACCAATAAAAATGCATGCCATTCCCAAATTTAATAAGGGTTAGATAAACAGTGTCATCTTCTGATGGTAAGCATTTGCTTCACACAAATTTTACTAACCAATTTTGATGAAAGCTGACCTATTACCACTATCACTGAAAAAATGCTACCTCAAAACCAAATTTATCCCATGGAAGAATCAAGCTCAAAATGTCAACTTCATTAAAGACACCATCTTCTGTTGATCGGAGATTATCCAGGAAAACCAGGACAGTCTCCTCAGCTTGATCTCAAACACTATCTGAGCAGCCCTGGAAGCTCTTATCGACAAATATACAGGTCACAAAAAATAGTTTCAAAATGAATCACATTGCTTTAAATTTAAGAATTCTTGTTTTTATGCCAAAGCAGGTCTGATAGCATAAAAATTGATTCATGCAAGAACATTTCATGCATCAAAATGCAATGATCCATCATAATCATAAAAAATTGTGAAATCACAACAAATTTTGGCAGCTCAGAATCAATCTGCCAAATATTATCCTCAAATCTGGGAAAATCAAGGTACCTATTATTTTCCTTAGTGTAGACTTTGCCAATGCATTACTCCATTTAAAAAAATTGCCAAGGATACTTTGAGAAGTGACATCATGAAAGCCCAGGTAAAAGAATAGTATTCAAAATGATCTCCATTCTAAATTGAAGCTTCCTTCATGAGATTCAGAAGAAATATGATGTGTCAATTAACATCAGATTCATCATTTCATCAAATCACTAAGATAAAATATTTAAAATCAGTTTGCAGCCCTACTCTAAGGAAAACCCACCATAGTATTAATAGGAGTGGACCCAAATGCACATTATAACATGCACATTAAATAAAATAGCACCCAATAGGCAAAATTTTTCCAAGTTTTGCTAGGTAATAGAATTCCTTAGATCTACATGACAAAGCCATTTTGATTTGCTTCCATCAGTTGCTTTGTTGTACATCCATGAAGATTGTTTCCTTTCAGAACTCCACTCTTATCCTTGAATCTTATAACAATATTTAACACTATGCATACTCCCAAAAGCAAAAACCATAACAGCCACAGACAAAACCAGAACCCTCCCATAAAAAGATGAAACCAAGATCTTCTGCCAAAAAAAATTTGGCTGAATATAAAGTAAATGATATACTGTAGATGTCACCAGCAGAGAAGCAGGATGGCTCCCCATTTTCACAATTGGCGAAAAAAAACAAAATTTCAAAGATGAACAACTGATCAAATCAAGCCAAGATGGGATCCCAGGAGTGATTGCAAGTTTAAAAAACTCTGGTATAGCCTGAATTGGAAATTTTGCCAATAGGGTTCTACTTTAATGATGCCCAGAGGTCACTGTGGCACACCCAAGATGACATCAGGTTCACTATCTTGGGATGGTAACATCCTATCTGTAATATTTTTTACTTCTGAATTGTTACCAATGCTATCACATTGGTCCCTGAGAATAGAAGTGGAAGGCTGGAAGGGCTCTGGTGCCGCATACCACCTTATCACAGAAGGCCTGGCCTGGTTTGACCATGAAGGTCCTCTGTTGATGGAGGTCTCCATCAGAAGAGGCCGCTTCTCTATCTCCCCCAAATGGTCATTTTCATCTTTGTGATCAATCTTGATCTCTACCTGACCTTCCTCAACCTTGACCAGGCACTGTGGGGGTTCGGGGAGGAGGCGTCGGAGGTTTGAGCGCATCTCATGCAGCCGCCGCAATTGCTTGATGGTTTGACGGTGCTTTGTTGCATGCTGGAGGACCTTTGCTGGATCTGCATCCATGTGGTGGCACTTAGGGCATGAGTATGGTCCATCTCCATGTTTCTGCAATGCATGTAATTTGCAGGGAAAATGTTAAAAATTGAGTCATCTTTCCTACATTCCTGTGATTATAAGTGACCTTTAAAACTCTACATTCTTGATGGACATCTCATGCTGGACTATTCTAGTGCTTAAAATAGTTCAGCATCCTTCATCTCCCATAAATTTGCAGTCACACCATCTAGTGTCTCAATCTGCCCTTCCTAATCTTTGATTAAAAGAATCAATCAATAACTTCATCCTCATATGAATGGTGGCATCAGATTGCATAAATGGTTACTGAATTAATCACCCCCCACCCAAGTTGGTTCATAGCTAAAAACTTTTGTTGTTTCATTTCAGTCTCGTGATGATGCCAAATCTGACCCAAAAGCAAAATATAGGCCTGGCTACATATCATAAATTATGTTCCTCATACCCCAGAATAAAACTTGGGACAAGGCTCACAAATACATATACACAGGGGCTAAATGTGGTATTAAGTGCCCTCAGACACTTCAATTTCAGCAGCAGACCCTGACATTATGATACTCATCTCTGACCTCATGAGCAATAACATCAAAAAGTAGATGTGATAAATGAGGCATACAATTGTCCTTACAGGGTGTCTAAAAGGCAGGAATCATAGAATTATAGGATGTCAATTATTTTTTCCCTATACTATTTAGTAGCCTACCTTTAGGATACTATAATGCAGGGCTTCCCAACCCTGGGGTCGCGACCCCATTTGGGGTTGCTAAGGTCATGTCTGGGGTCACAAACCGGCAACTAAATGCCATGTTATGTTTTTTCTTTTCGATTTTAGCGCATAGGTGAGGGAGCCTGTCAAACTTCAGCCAGTGCTTGGGGTCCCGAACGGTACGATCATGATTTTTGGGGTCGCACGTGAAAAAGGCTGGGAAGCCCTGCTATAATGCCTTAGTTATGAACAACACTACATCTGACCCAAACAGACTGAAATTGGAAGTGATGCAAAGTGACCAAGTCATTTGTGTCATAAGTGGCTTGGATCACAATTTGTGGTCAAATAACTTCCGTATTAAAAAATTAGATTAAAATATTACAAGTAGCAGATAGGAGAATGGGTTCAAAACAGCAGAGGTAAGAAACTGACCATACCCTGCAATCCTATATTCCTGACTTTGGGGAAAACTCATATGTATCTCCTATGTAAGATTGAAAATATAATTCTTAACCCTTCAAGTGCATTCAATGTCACTGTGATGTCTGCTATGGTATATATACCACAGAGGCAAGAAATGACAGTGACATCTACTGTGATAGTGTAATTTTATGACAATTCATGGGTAAGAGTTAAACTCAATAGTCTTGGGGCTTTCACCAATAGGCAGTAGATTTCTCTCTAGGATTCACTGCAAACTACAAAAAAATATTACCATAGCAGGGAATGTTCTACCATTTTAAATGACCATCATGAAGAGTTAACCATATTTCTGTTTATTAAGACCTTAAAAAAAAAAAGGATAAAGTAAATGGACCTTACTTCACGCATGTGCAGCTGAAAAACTTGGGAATCATTGGTATCCATGGGGCAGAGGAAGCAGGGAAACTTGGGTGGCTCATGGATCCTAGTGTGGACATACATGGCATACACATTCATTGTGCGAAATTCGCAATGTATGCAGTAGCGAAATATCCTTTTGCTGTTGCCTTTCTTCCCCTGCTCTCCAGGCCCATTCCTGGCATTGAATTTTCCCAATCGCCATGACTGCATCAACCAGTCTTTCCGACCCATCCCTGCAAGGATGAAATAAAACACTCTTTTGCTCGGTGACACATAAAGGCATAGCCCTTTTTGGTGTGATTTTGTTTCAAAATTCACCCATTATCATTAGTCTGTCAGGATGTACAGTCTTTGCAAAATGCAAGAGACTTTAAATATTTTCAACATAATTTTTGTTATAGGATTCCCCATTTACAGTTTGAAAATTACATTTAAATCCATTGAAATGCCTCAGAGATAGAAGGTTCTGAGGAAGAAAAAGACAGGGAGAAGGATGGGGCAGCAGGGTGCGAAGGGAAGATATAGGTGCCAGGTTCTGGGGTGATTCACACAGAATGAGAGAGCTGAGGAAATCTAGAGGCATGTGCTCTGTCCCATGTCAACAATATTTGCATTCAGCCCATTTCATAGCACCCATGTATTTTCTCTGAGTTCTAATTGGAATCTGAAAGCCAACCACTTTATTAGTTCAAGGACATCATAACCATATCTCTAGTGACAATTGAAGAAACACTCAATCTTGCTAGTCTCTGCATCATTTGAATCAGCATTCATTCTTCTTTTCCACTTGAACTTTCATTAACATTGCATTCTCATTTAATGCTGTGGACAGAGACTACAGTATGCCTCAAGATGATAAATTCATCTCCCACAAACACAATTCTTCTTCATCATATACATATCTCAAGTCTGGAAACATAGCTTTTACAGCACCTGCTCAACATATTCTCTCTTGTTTGTGCACTTTTGCAGTTGCATCCACTAACTTGGCGCACTTTTAAGAAGTTCAGGCATGATTTCTTAATGTGCTTAGGAGATATATTCCTAAAGATGTAAGCATAACAGTTATAAGTGTAAAGCCTATGTTTCCAGACTTAAGATTCACCCTATAGAAATTCTTCACCCATTCTTCCTTGACATGTAATGTACAGGGTGGTGCAAAGTTCAGGACACAGGGCTATCATTTATTTAAACAAATATTCAAACTGCTCTCCATTAGTATGAATACATGTTTCAATTCTCTTTTCAAATGACCATAGGACTTTCATTAAGGTCGGTCATGCACACTTCCAGTGTCTTTTAAGCGCTTGATCACTTTTCTTTTGGCTGAAAATCCAACATTTCTGTCTGTGCAACCAATTAATTTCATCAGCAACTGATCATACTGCCTTCTTTTGTGGACATAAAAACTAATTTCACTCGCTTGTCTTTAGTCAATTTTCCAGCCATTTTCACCTTTCACCTGAAAAGGGCAAAAAAATAAAGCAGTCATAATGCCTATGTGTCCTGACTTTTGCATCACCCTGCATATATTTCAAAGAACTAGAGAAGTATATGATAGTAGAATCCATATTTTATTAGGTCTACTAGCATAATTGTTAGGACTGTAGAAATGACAATTTTTTAAGGAAATATTTGAAGAACAACTCTACAAATAAAATAAGGAGGAAGACATGACTAGTTTCCAAACTTTGAACCTAGAAGGGTTAAGACATCTACAATACTGTCCAGAGAAAAATTGTTTTGGCACAAGGTCTAGAAAGAAAGCAAGAAAGTCAAATCTTGAAATTCTTTTTGGAACTGACAGTCTAATCATGTTCAACTAAGACAAAGTGGTGGCAAGTTTGGTAGTTATCACAATCGGAATCTGCACAAAAATTCATACAGCCTACAAAATCAACTTCCCTTGTAAGTTCACTTTTCATCTATGCATTGAATGAGTCATAAATTATTAACCAGCACCCTTAACATCCAAACAACTGTATTAAGGTAGACTCTGAAAGTTCTGGTACTTGAGAAAAAATAGAGTCCAATAAGAACAGTGAGCGGATCATGAAAAATCAGAGTGATTATCAAGGGATATGTCAAGTCAAAGGATATGTCTTGGTTCACATTGTGGCACTCAAATGTCTCAAATAGAATGTTATGAAAGAATTGGCAAGGACAGTACACTTTCAAGTGTCAGCAAGAAGCCATCCTTGCATGGTATACATTTTGCAGCAACCGATCCTAACGAGCATGCACATATCAACAACCTTAACAGCTGCAAAACACACGCCACAATACAATCTTGTAGATGAGAAAAAAATTATGAAAAAAGTAGCAGAGTGGAGACATTACATTGGACAGGCTAATTCATCTGCTTTGACTGCTTGAGTGAATAAAGGACATCGATGAACTTTCATTCAACACAATTAGCCTCATATAAAATATGTAGCCCTGTTTCTTGAACACATGAGATGGAGGATTTGGAAAAAGATTTGTGCCAAGTTGTCCAATATCATGGGAGTGATGGCATACAAGGGATATTGAGAACAAACCATCAAATTCTACAGTGATTGGCTGAAATCTAACATAACATAGAGGAAAAGCATTAAGGTGATTTCTATCACGAGATCAAGTTGTGCAAGATTTCTGCTACTGAAAATAACCAATGGGCACAAAATGCACTAAAGACCATGATGGAAGGATGCAAAAAGCTTCACCTCAAAATAACAAAGGCAACAGATGAGGCTAAAAGAAATGCATTAAAAAAATATAATTGGACACTGATTGGCCTAAGTTTAATATTCCATCTATTGCATACTGGTAATATCGGCAGAGAGATATATTATAGCCCAATGAATAAAAATTTAGTAAATCTGCAAAATTTAATACTGAATAATTTGGAGAACACATCCATCCCATGATGGATTTTAATTTGTTGAGTAGCTCCAGCTGCCAAGCATGTGGAAGGATTGGTTGATGAGATGATCACCCTGCTCTAAATATTTGAAGATTAAAACAATTGATTGGCAGAATGAAAATATTCTGAAAGCCATGCATAAATCAAAAGCAAAACCCCATTTCCAGAATTTTTCAGTATCAATAGTGATTTAAGCTATTTACCAGAGTAGGGCTCTCTTCTTTGAACTATTTCTTCTCATGGGAAAAAAAAAGGGAAGTTGTTTCCTGAGACACACTAGCCAAGCACAACGAATGTACCAGCTGTTTCTCAGAAATTCCACAAAACACAAGGAATCACAGTATGTCAGGAATCAGAGCCAGGCAGTTTTGACAGTAATAAAGCTCCATTTGGATAAATACTGCCAAGTCTCCCAAGGAAACAACAAAATTTGGAAGTCAGAGTAAGTTTGTACTGACTCAGAGCAAGGGAGAGCCAAGGCTATTGAAATGTTCCTCAAATTGAGCATCATGTGTGCTTAGAACACGGAATCGCTGCTCCAGGAGCTGTGCTGCAAACTTGTAGAGTTCCACATCAAGGTGGTTGATGCAGCGAATGGAGTTCAGAATCTCATCATCAAGCTGGTGTTCTGTCATCCCAGAGTATGTTGAATTCTTTTCATACTGCTCAAATGGGACATCAAACCTTAAGTTAAATGTCTCTTCAAAGATGTATTGGTTCTTTTTCTGGGTGGCAGTGATGCCAAAAGAGGCCATGTGTTCCAGATTCTGCTTGGCACTGGCCAGCATCATGGCATCCCGCTGCGGTGCAGGCATGCGGGACAGATTATAACACCCAACAAGACTCAAGTCAGCCAACATGCGGGTCTGACGGTTGTTGGCGAGGTTGTAAGGACAGGAAAGAAATTCCTCCAGAGGGACATCAGACCAGTCTTCCCCTTCATAGCAGGGTGGGAGTTCCGCTGAAGTGGCTTCATGCCCAGCACACCAATGTCGTGATGCTTTCCATGTTGCACCTCGCTGGACATGTTTGAACTCAGAGAGGTATCTTGAAACTGGTTCTCGCAGCAGAGTCACGTAGAAGTACCTGTCATGGAATGCATAATTATGGTTGAATTTTTAAAGCCAAGAATAAGGAATTTATTAAGGAATGGGAATTGGCCTTTGAATGGTAACCTCTGTTTCTAAAATAGTCTATACAGTATTGGCAAAAGGTTCCAGTGATACACTTCTTATCCTTTATTCCTCCTCTTCCATCAGACATTTTCCTCTGTATTGCTTCTTCCTATGACCTTGAAACCTTGCTTGATTTTCCTATACATCATTAGAAATTCTTGTTCCACAGTATTAGTAAACCCCTTCTTAAAGGCAAATAGTAGATATCCACACCCAAATTGAAGCTGGAGCATTAGGCAAGTATTCTTCATGAATTTTAATATTATGTTCTTGGTCTCATGACATACTGATATGAATTTGTGCAAAACAAAATTTGTTGCCAAGGGTATACATATTTCTAGCAGTGATTTTATTGGAGTATTAACCTTTTGAGCAGAATGGCTATAACTGGCACAGCTGTGCACTCCCAGTCCTGCTGGAGTGTGGCTGCACTGGTACATCCTGCATCTTCTAATTCAAATTGTAACATTTGTACAGATGCAGTCAGTTTGAGCTTAAATTTGGAGGTTCCTGAATAAGTCTCACTTTACTCAGTACTGCCATCTTCAAGCTAGTACAGAAAGTAACAGAAAAAATTAAATACTAACTTTGGGGTGGTTCACGAGAGTTTTCAGTGTGACTCTCTCACTGACAGAAGCCTATTCCATTTCGAAAATTAAGTGCACAAAGGTGTGCTTTTGATTTTCAATGACAAATCTGGAAAGCCCTAGAACTGGCAATAAACTGACGACAAAATGTATCACATGTAAGATATTAGTGGACAAGAAGCATTTTGTGCCAAGAGGCATTACATGACAAACTCCCTCACAGGAAATGAGAAGGAAAAGGGGATTACATCAATTACTTCTTCTGTATCTTACCTCTGTTATACTTTATCAATTCCATCTTATAACTTTTCTCCAATTTCATATTATTTCTTAGCAATTTCCTACTGTAGAGGTTGCACTCAGAGAAAGTGCCACATTTGCAAGCATTCCACAAGAAAACCAAGCCACAGAAAAGACATCAGATATACAACCTATATATAGATATATTGCAAAACACCGATTTTTCGTAACCGAAATTCAACTTTTTTTTCCTAAGTCACCCTTTAACGAATTTCAAGTCTGAAAAATGCATTTTGAAGCTGAGTCTTCTTTCCATTACATGTAACTGGAAAATATATCCTTAAAAGTATCACACCTAAAATGTACATTGAAAAGAGTGCCCTTTTTTTTTTGGGCCACAATGTATATGCTTGGAATGTGGTGTAGCTCCTTGCATTGACCCTTGCTTCAGGGTATACCATACCCTGAAGCACTACTGATTACCCAATATTACTAATGTTGAATTAAAGTTATTTTGACATGCTTCCATGGTAAATGCAGTTTTGGTTCATAAAAGTAAAAAATTCAGAGCTGGAACCCGTCTGCAAAAAAACCACACTCCTGGGGGCACGCACAGTCTAAAAAAATAGCGCACTGCTCAAAGGGTTAATTTTGAATGCTATGGGAGCAAATTTGCCTTAGACTGAACTCAGACACTGTATGTCCCTGTTGAGAGGTTGATTCTCCAGTAATATTTTAAAACAGAGAGCCCTTTGTTTATGTGCCCTTTGTGCCCTTTATTTGCAATGTCATCCAGTTCATTCATTAATGGAACAACAGAGGAAATAATAATTAAAAAATACCTGAATGGTAATGCAAAAGAGAAAATATATATTTAAAAAAATAATGAGTAAGGAGAGAAAAAAAAACTTATTCTCCATTTCAGTTAATCTAAGAAATGAAAAAATTAAAAGACTTTTTCCCTTTGTTTTTGCTTGTTCCTTTCTCTCCCCATAAAAGCCTATATCGTATCATATTCGCTCATGTTTTCAGAATAAAGGAAACAGTTATGCATTACAAAGATCTAGTAGGAAGAATGCAAGTTTATGCCTATTTTTTTGGCTGTTCACTTCTTAGATTGAAGATGGAAGATGAAACTGGGCTGTAAAACTCAATGGTTTGGAAGAAAAGAATTACATTTATGTAAGCCTGATATACATAGATTATTGGCTATTGTACGTCTTGTGAACACCATGTACACCCTGTGTACACCCATCCTTTAAGCCCAGTCTTCACCTTGTGACTATAGCCATGTACTAACTAAGTATAAAGCATGGGTGGAGGAGGCCTAGAATATATATTTTCCAGCCTTGATTAAGCCATCTTATCCATTTTCTATGAAATGCGCCATATTGAAGCGCCTCCCCAGCGCTCTCTTACGGTTTCCGTGCGAGGCTATCTGCCGGGAATTTTTATTTCTACTGGAGCTGAACACCGACTTCTAATTCTCATATACAGTCTAACTCTTGTTAATTCGGACTCGAGGGGACTGGTGATTTTTCTGGATTATCGAGTCCCTACCCAAGTGACCATTCATTTTTCTTCTTTTTTTGCAAGAAGAAAACCGCACAAAATGAAGGCGCCTCATTACTTGGTTCCAGGAAATTGGGGAGATCAAAAGTTTATTTATTTATTTATTCATTTTAAATCCAAGGGTGAGGGAAAGTAAATAAAAGGGGAAAAGACAGGGAAGTCTTTTTTTTTCTATTGTATTATATGTATTTTGCTGGAAAGTCTGGATTAACGGAAGATCCGGATTACTGACGTTCGGATTAACGAGAGTTGACTGTATTGCACATATAGCAATAGTAGCAACACACGGCAGCGGTACCCTCAGTGACATCACCACTACGACCACTATCAATATATCATCCATTCCATTGACTGATATTGCATATAAAAATTATCGCATGCATTTCGGCATACGTCATTTACGTCGCACGACGACCCTGTAGTAGGGTACGCGACGATAGCGCGAGAGGAGACATCGAAGTGACGTCACTCATTATGCGCGCATATACTAGTCTCTCAATGCTTGAGGTTGGATTCATGCTCGGCCTACCTGCGACGCTTATGTGGACACCATGCTAGCTATCCGTCATTAGCTCAGGTGTACATACAGTACACGAAAGTGATTCGGAAACTCAATCCAAAACCTGATGGCGGCGTGTTCAACGACAGATCTTCTGCCCTGCGAATTTTGTAGCGAACTCTTCTCATCCGAGAATCTCTTGCTTCACGAGGTGAGACAGTCAACGTTACGAAGTGCGGGGAAGCGTTAATTTAGGCGCCTATATCAGGCTTAATGAGGTGTGGACGCATGGTGAAGCCTTAAGTTTTCTTGCTCCTAGTGGTAACCGTTAAGCGCGTACCCTCTGGGCCTAGAGGGATATGAGATAACTGGAAACATGCAACATCTATTGGAATGCCTTTTTATTTATCATTAAGACCAACATAACCTAACCTAGCCTAACTTTAGGGGCAACACACTAACATTAGGGGGTAAGCGCTTAACCATAACAGCTCTTTGTAGTCTGGACTAAGATGCGTCTTCTCATACGATGGTTTAAGCCTGTGATTTGGCCTAAAGCTAATATTACATAATCGTAAGCCCAAAATTATGCCTAGTAGGTGATCATGCTTGCATATGTTTTCAGACCGAGTGTCGAGAGATCCTAAGGCCAGAAGATGTGTTGATTGCGAGCATAGAGGGCTCACCTTCCAACGTGAGTTGTGTCAAATGTTAGGCCAGAACCTCAAGCATCATACTTTCATAAACACAAGGGGCTAGATCCTGGTGCCCTTCAAGGTTATGACTCAACAAGTATGGGAGACCATTGTTGAACTGATACTAGAAAATATATTATTTTTTATCTATCTACCCTGCTAGTTTTCTTATAGACTGCAGGTTAAGTGCACTGTCTTGCAGAATCATGTGAATGATATGTGCAGGAGCTTAGTAAAGAAATACCATTTACATAATCAGGCCATTCATAGATAAGTTTTAAACATTTAGTTGGCTCAAGATCAGTGGTGTAGAGATGGGGAGACAGACACTTTTCAAGGAAAGAAGCTAAAAAAGAAGGAAAAGACCCATGGAATGCATGATAACATGGTAATGGTTAGGTGCATACCCTCTAACAAAATTGCATTCCCTCGGTCTCCAATGTTTCCAGATGAATTCAACTGGAAACATGTTACATTGATTGGGATAACTTTTATATATAATACACACCACCCTCCCTAACCTAACTTGGCCTAACTTAAGGAGCAACACAATATCCCTAGGGGGTACGCACTTAACCGTATCCTCTAGTTCCCATTTCTCTCACTTTCCTTCCATGCTATGCTTATGATCAGTACGGTAAGTTGGGTTAAGATGGTTGCATTTACCAATGAACAGTTGTACAATCAGTTCCCATTATAGGTCACTGAAAATTATGTAATTTGGCAATAGGAACTTATCTTGTGTTTACTCATACAATTACCAGTACCATGTAACTGGTTGGTATGAAAGGACCCATGGGACTAGTGTAACTTGCTAACTAATATTGGTTCCTTGTCTGATAACATTGTAGGTAGCATCCTATCCAGTCATTGGCATGGAAATGGTGAATCCTGATGTCACTGATATCTCTGCTACAAGAGCTCTCTCATGTTTTGTGTTTCATCCATTTAGTTATTGGTATCATGCATCTCTAACATTCTCAATGGAGTAGAAGTCTGCCCCTTTACAAGAAAGTTGATCACCTGACACTGAACGAGCTTGGAATGCTCTTAAGTAGGTGCTATAAGAAATAGATTGCTTTCTGCTGATGAATTATGGGTCTTGGGCTATATTCATTCTTGAGGATGTCACCCAAGAAATGTTTTGAAGTCTGCTTTCAGCCTTGATGGCATTGGAATCCTCGAATTATTAGCAATTCTGAACAAGAGTGATTTGGCATATAACTCCTTTGGTTTGTTGAATCAGAACCTCACCTACCACTCATTGCTTGATAATCTAGAATTTAAATTACTAGTGACTATAGCATTAAAGAGGATTAATTGAAAGGTAGAATTAATGTAATGTATGTATCTCCCAAACAGGGAAATGACAAAGACGGTGATCGACATCAGGTCTTCCTGGAAGCAATGGCTCGGGATATGGATATCCGTGAGAGGCACACCTCTCCAGAGGAGATGCACCAAATGGTGATGCAGGAATTGGACATGAATCCAAACATGATGCACATCATTCAGCAAGAGATTCAACACTTGACACCAAATCCAACCGAAGAGCAGATTGTTGAGACTACTCGACGTGTCTTTGGTCGTTTGTCAGATGAAACACCTTTGGTTGACACCATTCCATGCCAGTATTGTGATGTACCATTGCCAGCAGAAAATGTCGAGGAGATCATGCTTCATCAAACTCGATGCAACTCAAAGGTATTTGAAACTGGAGTTGGACTGGGTGTTGGTGTGACATGCGAACGTTGCAATGAAGAGATACCGTTTGATGACCTCATCCGACATGAAAGGTCATGTGGAGTGACTCCAACTTCACAGGATTCCTCTCATCTCCAGCTCAGGAGAGAGACACCACCTTCACAGGATATCTCTCTTCTCCAGCTCAGGAGGGAGACTCCAACAGAATCACTTTTCTGCCTTTTTTCAAGGATCAGAGAATATATACAGAACAATAGGTCCACTATATCTACGGTGATTAAGGCCCTTTTGCCCTTGTTGCGGATTTTGCCCCTGGCCCGCATGCTGCTTGCTATTGGCATCCCAGCTCAAATAGCAACTGCAAGTGTGGATGTTGTGAGTGGGGTCTTGCTTACTTTGTCCATTTTGATCTGAGTTTGAGCTTTTTCCATTTGAACTATTAATGAAGCTTTGTAGAAGGTGTCAGCATTTCATCTCTAATTCTCCTCAGTTCCCATTCACAAAGTGAGTCCCCAACTGCTGCTTTTTCATGTTTGTTCATTTATTCTCAATCAGTTTTTATTTCAGCTTTACATCTATGTTCTCCTGGTTAACACCTTTGATGTGTTCACTTACATAAAAATACTTGAGTCTAGGGTGAAACAGAAAAACTCAAACAAGTATGCTGCTTTTTTTTTTCCCCTTGTCAAGTTGTGCAAGTACCCCAAAGTTTTATGAAGGGTTTCAGTGGTGCTATTGTTGTATAAAGTGCTGATAACTTGAGTGAATGGATTGTTTTTCAATTGGATGAAGATTTTATTTCCAGAATATAGTGTATTTGCCTTCATTGGTTTTTATAGCATTAACTGGTAGAGTGGAACCTACCCCTGGAATGAACCACCCTGAAATCATAGTGACTATCTCATTCAAATCATCCTGGGCAACTAGGTATGTATCTATGGGGGGAGCCCTCCAGATCCCTCCCCATTTGAAAATCCCAGATGTGTCACAGGGCAACAATTGATAAATATGAAACTTCTGAAAAGGTCACATCATACCTTTTATGCTCATCTTAGCCACCCAACAGAAGTGCCATGGTTGGACAAATTGATACCACTTATTTTATAACAAACTAGTACATTATAAAACTATGGAGGAAATCTGAATTAATTTCTCTTAATAGCATCCAAGTAGGCTGAAGAACTATGTGAACTTAAATAACAAGGAATAAAAGACAAGTGTATTTCATCCTCTTCCTTTTCTTCTTTCATCAGTGTCACAAAATAATACCAGTTGAGAACATGACAGTCTCAGTGACAGCAGTATGAGATACACAAGGAATATCTTTACCGCTTAGCTTTTCTCTTCATCTTCTGGATGCTCTTGTACTCTCCTTCCTGGCTCTGCAGGGAAGTCATGAGTTGCTTCACCTTGTCCTTGCGCTCGGCATCTCGTTGCAGCCGCTCCTGAAGTTGGTATGAGCTCACAAAAGCTGAGTCATGACGAACTTCCCTAAGTGCCCCCTTCATTTCCCGTTTATAGCGCTTTTGCAGTCGCTCCTTCTCCCCAAACTTCTGCCTTGCTGTCGGGTGTGCAAAGTTGAAGTTCTCTTCAATCAGAGGTTCATATAGTCTGAGGGGCTTGGGACGTGGCCTTTCTTGCTGTAGTGCCACACGTGGACAGGCATAGATCAAATTGAGTGTTGTCTGAATTTTTGACACAAGTGAAGTCAAACTCTCAGGAATGTTGTTCTTCCTCATGAACGCAGGTATGATTTGCTTGAGAGGATCAAAAATTTCAAGGGAGGGTAATCCAGAATAAAGTCTGAGCATTTCAGTTAAAAGTTGGAGAAGTGAATGGAGGAGGCATAGGCGTTCATTTATGGAAAACCTATCTGCCTTTCTCATGTGAGAAAGAGGAACTGTGAAGTCTGTAACATCAACACCAGAAGTGTTCTTGAAGTGAAATGCTTTTGCAATGACAAGTCTTAGTGGAAAAGGTGCCAAGAGCTTCATGGCATCCACTTCACTGTTTGTGACACCTGTGATAAGCAGATTATATAAAACACACACAACTTCAGGGATGTATCGGTGGCTGACAGAAACATATTCCAAGGCCACATTCACCAGAAATAATGCTGACACAATGTGTCTCCATGACCTCAAAGGGCAAGTGCCAAGAAGTTGAATAAGAACAACAGATGCAGGTGAACAGACTGGATGCTTCTGGTCTGATGTTGGATATAACAACCCTAGCAGTTTTAAAAAGATCAAAGGAAACACACGCTCACTGTTCCAGAAGCCTTGAGGATCAATAAAAGGTCCTTTCTGGGACCGGATGATCTTGGCAAATACCACCCCTGTCTCAAATGGCACAATATGACATAAATCATAGAGAATGGGTGTCACTGTATCTAGATGTTCAAATGAACCCCTCTCACAGTTATATTCGATCCATTTCAACAAGAATGAAGTCAAGTTCTGCAGTTTTAGCCTGTTTCCTCCTCCCAGACTGGGATGGTGACTCTTGACCAATGCTTCCAGGACAAGTTTTTGTTCTTGGGGATCTTTTAAACTCCTCATCAACTTGATAAATTTCTTATCTGAGTCTGGCAATTGCAACTTGTCCATAAAACTTTCTGCGATCCCAGTTTCAAATCTTGACACATTGCTCAGCAGGGATTCTGTCTTTATAAACTGCTCAGGTAGAGCTTGATTTGTGAGGGCATCAGCTGATCGATGCCCAAGGCCTGCTGTAAGGGGCTGACCAAGCATACGAGACCATCTATCATTTTCCAATTGCTCTCGTCTCCTCCGCTCCAATGTGGATTCCTCTTCACTGCTCATAGTACGATCAGTTGGCTTTGCCTTGGGATTGAACTTCAATTCTTGTAGTAACATATTGTAGTTATTACCTCTCTCCTCTTCTTCATCCTCCTTCTTTCGATTCAGAGAAGACAAGAGCCACTGGGCCATGTCTGAGAACTGAGAATCCAATTTCTCTCTCAGGTCAGTCAGTCCTTCCTTTTCTTGCTGTCGCTCAGCTTTCTTCTGCTTAGACACAGCAATCATCTCTTCTAATCTCTCCTTCCTGCTCTTTGGCTGATTGTCTTCATACTCAGACCCTTCCTTCTTTTTCAGGAATCCTCCAAAATGCATGTCTCGTACAAAGCCCTTGTCAAGCTTATCCTGTGCATCTTCTTCATCCTCACTATCAGACCTGGGATCAGCACTCAATGCATGGGGATTATCCAGAGGGTGCCCAGCATGAGTCAGCTCTTCATCTGCATCCAGGCTGAACATGGACTTACGGCTAAAGTTTTGCTGGAACTCTGTGGCATAGCGCACAGCCATTCTGTCGTCATGAGAGAGTCCTTTAAGGCATTCCCCAATGCGCTGGTCCACAAATCTATTTGCCTTGGACCCATACTGGAGTTGAGGGAGTAGAGAAGCCTTGCGTTTCTTGAATGACTTGCTTCGTGACACTCCCGGCATCCCAATCTCCTGTCGACGCTTTCGTCCTATCACTTGGTACTTAGAACGATTTATGTGCACTTCAAATGGACTAGTTTTGGATGCTAGCCCCTTTTGTCCATGGTAGAGCTTCTTGAGCTTTTCCCCTGTTTTCTTTCGTCCCATCTTCCAACTGAAATTATCTACTTTATGACCTGATAATATGAAAAAGTAAAGGGTGTAGCCACTTTCTTGGTCATATATTCTATCAAATATGCTCCATGGCTGGAACTGTGTCGATTTCTAATGGGTCAGAGAATCAACTGATTTTGAACCTTAAACATACTCGACTTCAGTGATATCTATTAAGTGTCATGGCTTCTTTGCAGCTGTGATCATTTTCAAGCCATAATGAATTAAAACTGTTCAATAGAGGTTATGTTTTTCTGACCATTTCAGTCAAAAGGTAAAGGAAAGTAGATAAACTTGACTGCCTCAGCATCCTAAAGTCATAAGCATAATGTACACCTCATGTGAAATTAACATGTAAACATAATGAAAGTCATGATGATTAATATAATACACACACATAATACATACCATAACATGATGCTCTAGGGTGGTCCAGGGCATATCTCCTAGGAAGGGATTGTGAAATATTGTCAGAGACCTCTTTGAGGTAAAAATTACACTTGTAGAAGGTACTCTGCACTTGGCAAAAAAAAAAGGTATGTGGGTCTACCCATAGCCTAACTGATGATCTCGCATGGTAAGAATTCAAGGATGGGAAGTGGCAAGTAACACTGGTTAGCATAATGTCCAGGTCGATAAATGATGAAAAAGTTAAACTGGAATGTGACATTACTGTTGGTTTATCCCATGAACCAGTACCACTGCAAAATTTTTTAATTCAATTCTAAGATTTGTTTTATATTTAAGGAATGTGGCTAATAATAAGATAATTGATAGTAGTGATTTTAATAAGCAGTGGATCTCCAATAAAATAGGTTTCCCTTGAATTTAGTGTTGTCCTCTCCTCCAATCTCCACCTCACTAACACTTAATTAACCCTGTCTCACTTTTATCAACTTTGACAAAATTTCCTTCCCTTAATTTCACTTCATTCAGAGATTCATGAATTGTGGAACAGTTTCTTCAAGATTTAACCACATCTCTTCTCCTGGATAGGATGAGATCTTGACCCAGAAGAAACCTATAGCAATCCACTCTCTATGGGATTACTCTCATGAGCAATACTGCTCAAGTATCAAAGGTGTTGCATAATCCTTGTTGGAGTTATGAGGATGTAATAGTGCTCAACCTACTAGATTGTGTTTTTCTTACATATCTATACCTATTGTTGTAAATCAAATCTGTGGTGGTTTCAAGTTCTTACATCTTACAGACATTGATGTGAGAATAATTACATTTCTTTTCCAGCACTTTGGAAGAAGCCAATTATGCATGGAAATTCATGCAAAGTACTTCCATACATCCCAAACATTTTGGGTATAGTTGGGTATATATATTTTCAAATTATACATACTTCATAATTTCCCAATAGTCATGACATTTTTCAATTCAAGCTTTGGAATTTTTAAGTGGATGAAGGATAACCAGATTAGACCACAGCAAGTACCACCTCCCCCCTTCCTATCGCCCCACAACTGTCCATTATTGGTTTCTCTTTATACCTCTTTTGCAAAAGGCTGAACTCTATCATGGAAATGCAAATCTCAACACCTATTTGGTATTGTACACATTGCCAGAAATATACTAACTCAATCCAAAGTTTCTGTAAGCTGACCTATGTAGTGAATCAGAATATGTACGAAATCGATTGGAATCATCCATAGGCTTAATTCAAGTGGGCTCCAATATTTACGTAGCCTAACTTGCACCAACTTCAACATTTTGCCTAGGGCCTAGGTTTTACGTCTAATTATATTAATACACGCCTGAGCATAACTATGCCAAAAAATAGGCTGAGAATGAAGGGGCTTATAACAGGCCTAAGCCCATGCAGTTTCCCTCCGACAAGGCTTCCGCGATGAGTTCACACACGTGTTTCGACTCGAGGGACATCTACCGAATACCAGTTACGTTGTCGCCAAGTTCGGAGGAAACGTTAGTTCCACAGGCGCCGGTAGGCTCCTGGAATGGTTTGCATTAATTTAAAAAGGTGTGTGAACTCATCGCGAAAGCTCTGTGCGCATATTACAGGCCGAAAAACAGGTTTAATGCAGCAGATTGAAGGCAGCAGTCACACCGGCATCATGCCACTCGTGGTTTCATGAGGCGATCCAACCAGAAACGTTTTTCCTTACGTCCATGGATGGCGACTTCCGAGCGGGGATCCTTCGTATTCGCCA